AAGATAGATCATCATACATAGTGTTAAATTTATAATTTCTTATGGTCAGGCGGGGGCATCATTTGTGTTTTACAGACAGCGCAACAATTTCAAGTTGTACTTCAAAATCACTGTTGGTCAAATCTAAAGTATGTGGAACTATACTCATGCATATGGCTGAGCAGAGGGAGCATCGTCCATATCTAGTTTTGATTTGTTTCACATTTTGTCATGTCACCGTCGGTGTCTTTTATAGCAGTATGAGTTTTGCGCATTGTACGGTGACCTATAGTTGCTTAAATTCGCTTTTATTTGGACTCTGGTTGGATATAGTTGTTTCATTGGCAATCATATAACACATCTCCTTTTTTCTCTTTTAGAAGCTAGTGACTGATATTTAAAAAATGTTAATCTTTGCTGCAAATTGATAAAAAGAAAATGATTGGAAATAGTCAAGTACATACAAAACCTAAAGCTCTTTCCACACGGCAATTTTTCAAAATTTTCCACATATTCTATAGCATGGCACAATTTTCTTCTCTGAAAACCACGTAATTAGCATAACAGATAAACGAAATAACCGAAATATGAATGAAACATTCAAACTTCTTATTACATGCAGGTATTAATAAAGTCCCGATTTTGTGAATTTTCAACTAGAAAAAAATCCCTGATTAATAGTCCATTAATATATTATTTCAGATTTGTGTAATGAATATTAGAAATTTTCTTAGTATCATATTGTAACAGTTTATTTCTTAATCACGGTCAATATTTGATATATTTATTTTTTGGGATGGGATGAAATTATTATTATGTACTTCGCAAAATATAAAAAAGTGTCTGTAGAACACTAAAAATGACGTATAGCGGATATTTCAATGACATAATTTACTTTAAAAGTTTAGAGGTCAATACTAAAAAAATGAATGATGTAACAGTTTTACAGATTTTTGTTCACAACTGCCTATTTCAGTTTTTTTCCAGTCTGGGAGTACCATATGGCATATATAAAATAGAGAATGGAAACGGGGAATGTGTCAAAGAGACTGTACATTTGTAGATACGTCTATGCTTATAGCATCTATGCTTATACAAAGGAAAAAGGACAAGATTTATTTCTTTTAAAGTCCTTTGAATGACGAATAATGGCGAATTGACCATTCTTGACGTGTTAACAGTCTTTTAGTGTGTTTAAAGGGGCGCGTTTATAACAAGGGTTTATAACAAAGGTTGCACAGGATTGAAGAGTGGCGATTTTGTAGTGGGGCGAGTTTATCTATTTCCAATACAAACTATTACGACTACATCAGAACAACTTACGGCAGTTGTTTTCCAAGTACCATGACAATTACCAAATCATGAAATTTGCACATATGCATTTTTCCTTAAATTTGGACTAAAAATTAATTGAAATTGATAAAAATATGGCGAATTGACCGTAAGCAAGTAACATACAGAGCTGTCATTGCTATAGATATTTATAATACTGTAGGCCATTACTTGGCATTAGACTATTCATCCAAAAATAGTATCTACCCCCTTTAATGGCAGATTCTGGATTTCCAGACAACTTTTTGCTCACAAATTCGAAGTAGGATAATGGATTTCCTTAATATTTAAGGATCCAAAATATTTTAGATAGAGAAATATGTGGAATTCCAAAACTTTCGCTTAATCTGAAAAATGCTTTCTAACGTTAGTTTTCTCTTTTGAATTGTTTTACATTTGAAATGTCAGGACCTTTTATAGCTGACTATGCGGCATGGGTTTTGCTCATTACTGAAGGCCGTATGGTGACACATAGTATTTAACTTCTATGTCATTTGGTCTCATCTGGCAATCATTCCACATCTTCTTATTTTCCTATTGTAGGAAACAAATTGGAATTTAATCTACATACATTTGTGTATCTTCAATGGGGTGGGGTATCATACTACTGGGTATAAAGAACTTGGAATTGGAATTGTTCCTCTCGATATGAGACACAATATAGCCTTTTTGTGCTTATGCAGCGTAAAGAAATCACCATGCATGCAATCAATCAATCAATCCTCTCAATATTACTTCCATGCTTAAACTGATGTTTAATATTAGTTTACATGTACAAAGAAGTCAGATTTGAATTACATGTATGTATACATAAAAAAATGAAGTCAATGTTGTAATGATTATTTTGCTTCTTTAGAATAGAATATTATCATACAACATACAACATATTGATTTATAAGACAAACATTTTAGACTTGGTTAAAAGAAATGAGTAATTGAAAGTTAAAAGAAATTGAGAAAAGACAATTTTGAGAAAGATTTTAGCATAAAATATAATTATTAAATCAACAAAATTACAATGATATTAATTGATTGATTGGTGTTTAACACCTCTTTTAGCACTATTGGCTATTTCGTAGCAGTCGGTTTTTATTGGTCAATGTTGGTGGAGGAAGCCAGAGTGCCTAGAGAGAACCACTGACCTTCCGAAGGAAAACAGATAATCCTTGTCAATGATATTAAGATTTCATAGATATTTTCGGAAATTGACCGGTATATATGTATTAAATGGACACTGGAATTTTAGCTAAGATTTCAAAAAGGACAACGCAAAATATTGTCATCATAGAGTGGTTTGTGTTGTCTGTCTGTTAACATGAAAATATGTAAACTTTTAAAAAATATTCTCCTCTGAAACTAACTATGCTTACAGACAAAATGAAATCAAACACAGTTTAATGTTCCTGGCACTCAACCAACATAGCTGCCATTCCTAAAAATAGAACATAAGGTTAATTTTGAAAATACATGTAATGTAAACTGACAGGAGTTATAATACTTAGAAAGTTAAGAGACCTACATGTAATGTCATTCCATTCCTACCGGAGTATTATGGTTATAAGATAACAACTTACAGGAGTTATTGACAGTAAAAATGATAAGTGATATAACATCTAGAGAAATGCAAATATGTATGACTGAAATCATCAATTGACTCCTTATAGTTGAAATTCATTGTGGCAGATTCAGCTAGGATCATAGAGTATTTGCTTCCCCATTTTTGGTCAATAAAAATTTGTTGAAAAAAATTTAGACTCACTACGCCTGCCTTTATTTCTACCATAACTGACAATTACACCCCTTTCTTCAAACCAGGTGTCCTCACCTGATTGATCTTTAATACTAATATCACTGAAACTATTAATTGACTCATTAAAGAGCATTTTTTCTAACAGACAAGAACAATCATGATTGATTCAATATGAAAGGTACACATGTCCATCTGAAATTGACTTTATTTCATGGCTCAGTTATTATGTCCAATTCTCAGAGATCAACTATTTTCAGTGTTGAGAATTATTGTAAGGTGTACATGACCAACTGACAAAGTTCATCTGACATTGACCCGATTTTTATGGTTGAGTGATCCACAGTAAGTTTATGTTATTAAGACTGTTTCTCAGATATCACAACTAATAGGTCAACTACATGTATATTTCATGTATAGAATAATAGGAAGGAGTGCATGTCTCTCTGTCTACAGTTTATCTGGTGTTGACATCATCTTTATATGTCAGTGGTTAATGTGCAGTTTTCATTACAAGGTCAATTTCTCAGATACTTTAGGTAATATTTCAACTATATTGGTGTTTAGAATCATTGCAAGCTGTACTTATCTATCTGACATTCTCATGGTTCAGATGATGATGATTGGTCTATCAAATGTTTTCAAGAATAGGACCATTTCTCAGCTACTACCACTAATAGGTCAATTTTATTTTGTGTATATAATAATTATATGCTATAATGTCAACTCCAGGGTTTTCCTGAGATTGACCTCATTTTCATGGTTCAGATGATGATTATACATGATGATGATAGCCGACAAAAAATTTTGAAGAATAAGTACATTTTTCAGCTACTACTAGTAATAATTCAATTTTATTTGGTGTATAGAAGGATAATTAGCTATGCATGACTATTTGACCTTGACCCCATTTTTAGTTTATTCGTCAATATTAAGTTTTTATGATGCCCTAAGTAAATGGTCAACTTTATATTGTGTATAAGATGAATGAAAGATGTACAAATGTACTAAGATGTTTATTTGACAGGGTTTACCTAGAAATGACCTAATTTTCATGGTTAATTGACTAATTTAAATTTTCATGATTAGGTCCAATTTAAGAAATAATTCCTTCATGTCATGCTCTAAGCTCATTTTAACATGGGTAAAAACTAATAGTAGGGTAAATATATTAAGGTTTAAGAACAATATATATCATGTATATTATATATAATAAAATTTTATGTAAGCAGCTAAAATATATATATTTTATTAGGATAGAAATGAAAATAACAAGAACAGTAAGTTTATGCGCATGTGTCAAACATATTTTGTGCTGATTAGAACACGGCTTTGTTTACAAAGCATAATAAGGACGTCATATTAGAATCTCAGATACTGCAAGGCATAGGTCAACTATATTAGGTCAATAGAATGAGCCTTTTAAAAGTTTACATGTTCATCTTACAGGAATGACAGGATCCATCAGACATTGACCTCATTTTTGTCGAGCCAGAAACATTTATGTCGTGAAAGGGAGACATAGCGATCCTAGATTCTGTGGTCGGCAGTATCAACATTTAGGTTCAGTCTGAGGTTAAAGTATTTTTAGACATCAATCACTTTGTCAAACCTTTATGGAATTTTAGGAAATTTTGACAGAAGCTTGTTCGTGACCTAAATACAGAATCCAGAGCAAAATTTTAAAAATATTTATTTTTATTTTTCTGTATTTAACTGATAAATGGACATAGATTTTTTTACATTTAACAAATAGATACAGTCTGGAGTTAAAGTTTGTTACACATCAATAACATTATCAAACCTTCATAAAATTTTATGAAACTTTGGCAGAAGCTTTTTTATGATTAAGAAATAACATGTAATGTCTGAAGCAAACTTTTGAAAATGTATTTTTTTCATTTTCAGTATTTTTTCTGATAGATGGACTTTTTTACAGTTAACATTTACAGACAGTCTGGGATTACACTTTTTTGATATGATAAATTTGTAAACCTTCATGGATTATTATGAAACTTGGACAGAAGCTTATCTTCAAGACCATGAAATAGCATCTAAAGAAGAAGTTTGATTTTTTTTTTTTTAGAATTCTGTAATTTACTGATAAATGGACTGACACTTTTTAAGTCAACATAACGATTACACTTTTATACTGACAGCAGCAATGGCAGGTAGGACACAGGGTTCCGCTGAACCCCTTACAAATTTTGAATTATAAATTATTGAAACAAGGAATTATTTGAATCTGGAATAATTTTGAATTCTGGAAAATTGATAAGAAAAGTATGATGAAAACTAACAACTAAATAGGGTAAGCCATGCACCCATGGCTAAGGAGGGTTAGTTAGTTCATACTGAAATATCAGTGAAAGTAAAATTAACCTTAGCCATGCACGCATGGCTAAACCAATTTAGTTGGGTTAGTTTTCATCATTTTTCAATTTTCCAGATTTCAAAATTATTCCAGATTCAAATAATTCCTTGTTTTGAAAATGTTTAGCTTATATGAAACCATTGTAAGACTTGGATCATAAGGACTTTAAATATAAAATTCAATCAATTTTCAATTAAGAAGGTGAGACATTTTAGTGTGTGCACAATGTAGGAGTAAAATGTGAATAATTTAATCTTTAAACATGTTAAAACTGCAGTAGATAGTGAAATTTCACGTTGGTAAAAATACTGAAAAAGTCTTTGATCTGTTGCATTCCTTTTAGGCCAGCTAAGATTAATTTAGCTTGCTGAAAAAAAATGGGGAGGGTTGTAGGATTTAATTTTTTAATTTTTATTTTACCTGAGACCCTTTTGCAATGTGTTTTACATATGCTAGGGTAATAATAAACTTATACATGTATCATGTATATATAAAGAATTCTGCATACTTTTTTTAATTTTGAAATGAATATTTCTGATTGACAATGTTTTAGTTGCTTAAGAAACCTTTTTCAATAGAAAGCAAACGTGGAGAAATGCTTGCTTTTTGACTACCTAAATCATTTTTTTTTTGCTTTCTAAGCTATTGTTTATAGTGCCCATAATAATGAAGCATATGCATTGGTATGAAACACAAGTATTATGAGTACAGGGAAAGTAAAAACTCAAACTGTGTTGAAAATACTTGGGTTGATGCTCTTTAATATTTTATTTTATTTAGAGTTATTGTCGATTTTTTTGTTCCTGCAGTATATTTGAATATAATATTGAAACAAAAATATATGGATTTTTTTGAGGGGACTCCTACGATTTGTAAATAATTTCCTTAGATGATTATTTTTTCCATTTGATTGTGAGAATAGTGGAAATGAATATTGATCTGGCATAGTTTTTGTCGAGCCTTCGACTTTAGTCGAAAAAGCAAGACATAGCGATCCTACATTCCGTCGTCGTCGGCGGCGGCGGCGGCCACAAATATTCACTCTGTGGTTAAAGTTTTTGAAATTTTAATAACTTTCTTAAACTATCCTGGATTTCTACCAAACTTGGACAGAAGCTTGTTTATGATCATAAGATAGTATCCAGAAGTAAATTTTGTAAAAATAAAATTCCATTTTTTTTCCGTATTTTACTTATAAATGGACTTAGTTTTTCTGCCGGGAAATATTACATTCACTCTGTGGTTAAAGTTTTTAAAATTTTAATAACTTTCTTAAACTATCCTGGGTTTGTACCAAACTTGGACAGAAGCTTGTTTATGATCATAAGATAGTATCTAGAAGTAAATTTTGTAAAAAATAAATCCATTTTTTCAGTATTTTACTTTCAAATGGACTTAGATCTTCTGCCAGGAAACAACATATTCACTCTGTGGTTAAAAGTTTTTAAAATTTTAATAACTTTCTTATACTATTTTGGATTTGTACCAAACTTGGACAGAAGCTTGTTTATGATCAAATGCTAGTATCTAGAAGGAAATTTGTTTTCTTCCAGTTAACATAACATTCAGTCTGCAGTTAAAGTTTTTAAACATTTATTAGATTCATAAACTATCCTGGGTTTTTACCAAACTTGGACAGAAGCTTCTTACAATCAAAAGATAGTATCAAGAGGAATATTTTTATTGATTAACTACCTCATTTTTGTTGAGCCTGCGATTAACAGAAAAGTAGGCGAGACACTGGGTTCCGCGGATTTTTCTTGTTAGTGTCGTTAGGAGAAATTTTTCTTGTTGGTGTCGTTAGGAGAATTTTTCTTGTTAGTGATTCAGGCTCATAGAAGCCTTTAATGTTAATATATATTGAAATTCAATACATTTACTATTCAATAATATTCAGAAAATTATGTTAATTTTTTCTCTCTTTTCCTCACAGTACAAGAGCCTAGACAATGAAGAGGACAAATAAACAAGAACTGTTAAAAGAAATTAGAAATGCCGACGGAAGACCTCAGGCAATGGGCACTGGTGACAATTTTTCTCAAGAAGACTTGAGAAATGCCATGGGAATGTCTCAAGCAGTTGGTGATAATTATAATCAAGACATTAGAAATGCTATGGGGAGGCAACAAGCAGCTGGTGATAATTATAATCAAGACATTAGAAATGCCATGGGAATGTCTCAAGCAGGTGGTGATAATTATAATCAAAACATTAGAAATGCCATGGGAATGTCTCAAGCAGGTGGTGATAATTATAATCAAGACATTAGAAATGCCATGGGAATGTCTCAAGCAAGTGGTGATAATTATAATCAAGACATTAGAAATGCCATGGGGAGGCGACAAGCAAGTGGTAATAATTATAATCAAGACATAAGAAATGCCATGGGGATGCAACAAGCAATTGGTGATAATTATGATAGAAAAAAACAAAAACCAACAAAAGCTAAGTCAGAACCTGCCAAAATGAAGTCGAAAAAAATTGCCAGTTTGCCACCTTACATGGCTTTAGATGTAATGAAACCAGAACAAGAAGAAGTGTATGACAGGTAAATGGTACCTTAAAGTCTACGGACCTTATTCATATTAAAATGATATTTTGTAACAGTACAATTAACTGAACTTATCAGATTGTTACAGCATTATCGATTGAGTAGGTGCGAATAATATGCTTATACAGAAATACTTATTTTTGTAATTTTAGCAAACATTTTGGTATATACTGCTAATTGTTTTTTTCATATTTAAAAGTCATGATCTTAAAAAATCTGCCATTTTCTCCCTACCCCAATTTACCTCTTCCTCTTATTATGCTTTTGATTGGTCATTGTTATTTTGAATCATACACAATTTGACTTTTTAAGTTGAAATTGCTTCAACCTTTAACCTATTTTATAGGGTGTTTTATGTTGGAACCTGAACAATAATTGGATAAAATGAAGGAATGGTAAATCTGAAATATGTGATATGAATACAAACTTTGTTCATTCTATATTCTATTTCAATTTTAGTGACAGTGAACATGACATGGATGACCTTGAAATGGAGAATATGAGTAAAATAGCAATAAAGTCAAAGAAGAAGATTGCACCACAAGTAAAGAAAGCTCCTCCTCCGCCACCGCCACCACCACCACCGCCTGAACCTCAGGTAGAAGCATTTGACATGCTCACTGAAAGTAATGACCGTTTTGATGAAGACATGATCAGTCTTGCATCAGAAGTAGAATTTGTTCAAAAAAGATCTAGTAGAATGAAAAAGCCGATGCCACAAAAAATGAAGGGAAAGAAAAGTAGAGAAGAACCAGCAAGAATCGGTAAGATTGTATTACTGACTTTACCCAAGTCAAAGTGGACAGCAGTTCTTTAGCAGTTTATTAGCATTCACAGTTCTTACTCGACAGCTGTTCTTTAGCAGTTCATTAGCATTCACAGTTGCCAAATTCAAGGCAATAGTTAATTTGCATATAGGCATTCCAATAACATTCCATAGCAGTTTCTTAGCAGTTTATTTAGCCTTCACAGTTATTTTTGACGAAAAATTTAAATGAGATACTCAAAAACTGCTATCTTCTCTGAATATTCATGAGAACTGCTATAATAACAGCTATCAATAATGAATATTCATAGAAACTGCTAAGTTGTACATCCTAATATGGCTTTCTTAACTGCTAATAACTGCCATGGAATGCTATCAGATCTGTAAAAAGTTGAAATACAAATTAGGTACACATGAATATACAGTGTACAAGATATGAATGCAAAAATAAATTCTAATATTTTACTGCAAGTCTTGTTGAAATTTCAAAAAGTTGCACCAACTTATATTTGTGATTTGAGCAGTAACTGCAATCAAATGACTCTATCTTAATCCAATAACAGACTTGTTAAGGGGTGTAAACATGCTTTGTGAGTACTGTACCTGGCCTTATACCCCTTATTAATTATGTCAGTGGCAGAATAATTGAAACAGTTGAGAATTATAATGCACTTTAAATATCAGTGCTTATAAAAAGCAACTTATTCAATAAGAGTGGTTACTTAAGAGACTATTTATTACCTTGACTAAGTGATTTTCAGATTAAAAGTTATTTTATTTTTATTATTATTTAATTACCAAATGTACTACTAATTTCTCTTCTACTATATATATTTTGTGTGGACCAAAAGAAAACAGTTATCTCCTCTTTCTCTTTTGGAGTTAAACAAAATAATTCTTAATACATGTAATATATTATGTTTCCACTTTCTGAAAAAAATTTAAGTAACATATATTAACATCATTAAATGGATTGTTTGGTCAATATTAAACAATCAGCTATATATGTGACCTAGGTTTCCTTAATATTCCCTCCCCCTTTTTCAACTCTTGAATATGATTTATTTTTGTATTTTTTATAAAAATTATATTAAAATATTCATATTTTTATTTTCAAATAACATCTTGCACTGTTAGTATATGCTAGTATTTTATTACAATCCTATCATCATCAAATTATCTATTTGAATAAACAACTATCCCCCTTTTTTGGGGCTTTCTGTATTATTTCTGTTTTTCCCTACAAAGTTATGTCAGAAAATACACATGCATTATCTGTAACTTCAACTTACTGTACTGCAGAGAAATTATTCCATTTAGCCCAAATTAAACTTCATAATTGACAAAAATACAGTTTTTCACTAGCAAGTATTTACACACAGCTTGGAGCCAAAATGCACATTTGAAAATGATCAAATAACCTTCAAATAAAGGTTTACTAACAAGCTGAAAACACAGCCAGATCCAAGCATTTTTATAACAAAGATTAAAACCAAAACTGCTATCAAACTGCTATTGAACTGCTGTCATAACTGTTGTCCAATTGACAAATTGACAACAGTTCAGAAGGAAGATCCAGACTGCTAAGATGAATGCTAAGAGGAATGCTAAGAAATGGTGAAATAAGGCAGTTTCTCAAACTGCTATTAGATGGAATGCTATGAACAGCTGAAAGACTGCTAAAAATATGAAGAACTGGTAAATAACAGCTAATAAACTGCTAATGATAGCAGTTCAGTTTGACTTGGGTATTTACCTAAAGTCATTTTATGAATTATATTGAGTATCATTATTCCTTAGATTTTCCTATCAATATTTCATTAAATCAAGGTCATTTAACTTTAATAAAAGGTTATCAAGGAAGTGAACTTCATAATGTCCTACTATGACAGTTGTTTTCCATTCCTTTGATGTGTTTGAGCTTTTGACATTTGATAAGGGACTTTCCGTTTTGAATTTTCATTGGAATTTCGGTATTTTTGTTACGTTTACATTATCAAAACTAAGTTATTTTCCTTACTTCATTGTGAGATTTTTGTCTCTCCTTGACGGAGAGAGACTAAGGTATGTTTTTTTTCCAGCAGTGGCATCAGCGGCAGCCTCAACAATTTGTTAAAGTTTGTGATAAGGTCAGTTAAAGATAAACAACTAATCACTGCTAATGGTATTTCAAAGATATTTGGTATGCAGTTGTAAGCAGCAGTGGAACATCTCATTTCCTTAAACATTATTGCCCTGCCCCCTCAGTCATGGTCTATTGACTTTGAAAGTTTTGCATAGTTTACATGTTAAAGTTTGTGATTTGGTTAGTTTAAGTTGAATCACTTATGATCAGTCAATGATATTTGATATGTAGTTGTATAAGCATTGGCACATCCCATTTCCTTAGAGATTATTTGGCCCTGCCACCGGGGTCATAGTCTATTGACTATGAAACTTTTACATAGTTTACAATGTTCAAGTTTGTGATTAGGTCAGTTTAAGAGGAACCCCTTATGATCATTCAATGATATTTGATATGTAGTTGTATAAGCATTGGCACATCCCATTTCCTTAGAGATTATTTGTCTCTGCCACCAGGGTCAATATAGTCTATTGACTTTGAAACTTTTACATAGTTTACAATGTTCAAGTTTGTGATTAGGTCAGTTTAAGAGGAACCCCTTATGATCAGTCAATGATATTTGATATGTAGTTGTATAAGCATTGGCACATCCCATTTCCTTAGGGATTATTTGGCCCTTCCCCCTCAGTCATGATCTATTGACTTTAAAACAATTTCATAGTTCAAATGCTAAAGTTTGTGATTAGGTCTGTTTAAGACATATAAGTATTGGCACATCTCATTTCCAAGGCAATTATTTGGCCCTGTTCCAATCTAATGGTTTATTGATTTTGAAATCTTTGCATAGTTTACATGTTTTTAAGGGGAACCACTTATGATAATGATATTAAGTATGCATTTGTATTAGTATTGGCATGTCTTATTTACACTGATATATGGCCCTGTGCCTTTCCTCATTGTTGGATTTTAAATATTTTTCATAATTTACTTGTTATTAAAAGTTTTATTGTTTTGATTTCAACATTTCCATTTTAATGTCAAAATTACATTAAGATGAGACACATCTCTGTGGGAACAGTTAATAAATGAATTTTTTTTAAACCTTTACATTTTAAGCATGAATGGCTTTAGTTAAGTAATGCATTAAGCGCCAGTGTAAAGCAACTACAAATCGTACAGGTCTAATCTGTTTCTGTGATATCAAAAGTGAAACAATGGATTTTTTCTTCTTCAGTACCTCCCAAAATAACAGTGGACATGCTTTCAAAGGTGAAATTAAAAGCACCACCAGGGGAAAAGATTGATAAAGATACCTTAGGTATGGTTAATAAATAGATAAATTCCATAATATATAGTATCCTACACTACAGTGCAGTTAATAATTTTTAAACAAAGTTTAGACATCTAAACCAATCGAAAGTTAATCAAGTTATCCTTTGATAAGCTTTATCATCAAAATACATAGATAGAAAATTGGAACAATGCAGTATAATGTCGTTTTTGTCAACAAAAACGGAGGGACAGACAATAACAGCCCAATGTAGGCTTAACAGACTAAATTACAGAGAATTAAAAAAAAAGATATGGTAAAATACAGCCAGTGAAAAGTTTCTGACTTGTTACAAGCATATTAAACTGTGATATGGTTCCTGATGAAGGTAAATCCAGATCGCTTCAGACGCATGAAATTTATAGTGTGTTGTTTTCATTTTTTTCAACACTAGGTCGATACCTCTGCTGGTGGACTATCAGTCCCCGAGGGTATCATCAGCTCAGTAGTCAGTACTTTGGTACTGACATGATTTATAACAAACCTTTGTAAAATTGTCCATTAATAAATTTTGAAATTATGAGAAACTAAAGTTTCAATTTCCTCAGGCAAAGTTGACCTTAGATGCATTTGGCTATTTTTTAGGTACTTTATGGTTATATAGCTCCTCAACTGTTTACGTTATTATACATTCTTGGCTTTCAAATATTCTGCTTTGAACGTTCCTGATGAAGGTAAATCCAGAAAAGCGCTTTGGATGCATAAAATTTATAACCTGTTGTTTTCATTCTATAAACTACCAGTAGTATTTTTATATCTCAACCAAATTGATCTGTATTGCTTCTATGTAGCTTTATTTAATCCAAAATTTAAAAAATGCATCTCCCAAAGTAATTGCAGTATTAAATTGTTCTCAAATACTTATAATGAAAAAATGTTCCCACAACAAAATTTTGCATTGTGGATTACAGTTTTGCAATCAGTCAACATGAAATGGTTAATGAAGGAATAAAAACAAGATTGTAATTCAATAAACAACAAAAGACACAGGACTATACTCTATAACAAAAGAAACGCACTATCTCCATTATTTCTTTGGATTAAAAATTTCTATCCCATGTGACTTTTTGAAAAGTGATTGAAATGAGTAAGATTTTTTATCCTTTTGTCATGTTTATGTTGCATATGAAATTTACGCTTTATAAAAGAAAGGCGAAAGATACCAGATGGACATTCAAACTCATAAGTCGAAAATAAACTGACAATGCCATGGCTAAAAAAGATAAAAAGACCAACAGACAAACAATAGTGCACAAAACACAACATAGAAAACTAAAGACTGAGCAACAGGATCCCCACCAAGAACTGGGGGTGATATCAGGTGCTCCGGAAGGGAAAGCAGATCCTGCTCCACATGTGGCACCCATCGTGTTGCTCATGTTAGTACAAACCCGGTAATAAGTCTAATTTGCAGGTCACATTCCGGAAAAGGGGACGGGATTGTAGCTACAACATTAGGAACATATACGCTATCATCTGTGAAACGGATATTCCATAATGGTCAACCAACTCGTGATGGCATCCTTAAAACTTATAAATTGTGTGCGTCTGAAGAGACTCAATGGATCAACCTTGATCAGGAACGCTCCATAGAATGTTTGTTGTGCCTTTGCTTTACTGAAGTGACTTATGTTTAAGTCCACTGAAACAGTTTCCACTTTGTTTCTATATTATTTTCATACAGTTTAAAATTTATTTCTTCCCACATATTTCATATAAAAAATCTAGAGTTTGTTCTTAAAACCGAGCACACAGACATATATTTATTTGTTACTAATGTGGTGTATCATATACTGTGGATTCATTTATTTTTCGTGGATTGAGGAAACTTTGTATTATTATTTGATTTCATGGTTTTGCTTTAAGTCTGCATACAATTATATAGAAAATTTGTGCTTCTTGAACATTTACGGGAAATTAGTGGTTTACCTTTACATGCTATACCCACAAAAACCACAAAAACTGATGTCCCACAATAAGGGCTGTTGCCAGGGAAGGCACTTTAAAAATGGGGTAACAGTCCATAGAGGCAAAACAAAATTTCTTATTATGAATTATGAATCCACAGTACTCTTTTTTTAGGGCTTCATTTATGAATATGTTTTTATCTTCAAATTTCAACCATGTCAACATGTGAATTCTTATAAGAAGAATTTTCAAAGTTCTTCACTTTCTATTCTGCAGATACTTTTATACTTTTATATTTTTTAGTTAAAATTAGTTCAACAGAGGTGCTAACTTTGTTTGATAAGAGAGATTATTTCCCATTGTCTTCATTTATTGTAAGTATAATTTTCTTTGTAATAGAATAAATTCAAAACTTAGGGGTTCAAATTAGTGTGGGTCCAAGGTCCTAAACCTGTCTTTTTTTGGGAGGGAGCTTTTCATTTTTGAATTAGAAAAGTCCAGGACCTCCCATTTTTTATGATCATGCGTTATACAGAACTTTTGATTTAAAAGGTGAACCTTTTTATTAAAAAAATCAATTAGCCCTGGACCTTTCAATAGTTTGCCATAACTTTTTACATAGAACTTGTAGGGTAATGGCTAGCCGTAACTTTTAACATAGAATTTGTAAGGTAATGGCTAGCCATAACTTTTTACATAGAATTTGTATGGTAATGGCTAGCCATAACTTTTAACATAGAATTTGTAGGGTAATGGCTAGCCATAACTTTTTACATAGAATTTGTAGGGTGATGGCTAGCCATAACTTTTTACATAGAATTTGTATGGTAAGCGCCAGCCATAACTTTTAACATAGAATTTGTAGGGTAATGGCTAGCCATAACTTTTTACATAGAATTTGTAGGGTGATGGCTAGCCATAACTTTTAACATAGAATTTGTAGGGTGATGGCTAGCCATAACTTTTAACATAGAATTTGTAGGGTGATGGCTAGCCGTAACTTTTAACATAGAATTTGTAGGGTGATGGCTAGCCGTAACTTTTAACATAGAATTTGTAGGGTAATGGCTAGCCGTAACTTTTAACATAGAACTTGTAGGGTGATGGCTAGCCATAACTTTTAACATAGAATTTGTTGGGTGATGGCTAGCCATAACTTTTAACATAGAATTTGTAGGGTGATGGCTAGCCATAACTTTTAACATAGAATTTGTAGGGTGATGGCTAGCCATAACTTTTAACATAGAATTTGTAGGGTGCTGGCTAGCCATAACTTTTTACATAGGATTTGTAGGGTAATGGCTAGCCATAACTTTTTACATAGAATTTGTAGGGTGATGGCTAGCCATAACTTTTTACATAGAATTTGTAGGGTGATGGCTAGCCATAACTTTTTACATAGAATTTGTAGGGTGATGGCTAGCAATAACTTTTTACATAGAATTTGTATGGCGATGGCTAGCCATAATTTTTTTATCAATTAAAGCAAATTTTAGCCCCTGAAACTAGATTTTGGTTTTCAACCCAGATCCTTGGAACTTCACAAAAAGTTTGCACATCTATTGTCATTGCATGAGCACCTATTAGTTCCCATTTCTACATTTTATATTTCCATGTATTTAAATGATTCATGTAAACCAATTTTTTATGTTGAAAATACATTCTGGGTAACCATGCCAAATGAGTCTGTTTCATAGAAGCTCATTATGAGCCATGACCGCTTCTCTGAAACAAGTGGACCAATTTTAATAAATGTCTTTTTTTCTGTCATTCAATCAACTCAACCAACATAGTAGAAAAAAAGAACATAAGGGTAAAATGCAAGTTATTTTCTAATATCTTGAGGACAATAGTAGAAAGAGAAAATCTGCCACGGTCAAGAAATGATCAGATTGTCAAAATTAAGATAATTTTCTATTCCACCTGAATTGTCGGTAATTGTAACAGATTATCCAACACTAACATTTACACATAGCCTGGAGTTATGTTTTTTTTAAAAGCATTACTAGCTTTCATTACTTTGTTAAACCTTCATGGAATGTTTTGAAACTTGGAAATAAGCTTCTTCAAGATTAAGAAATCTGTATTTTTCCAATAAATCAGGTCTTAGTTTTTGGCAATAAACATAATACTTTTACACTGACAGCAGCAATAGCAGGATATAGACACAGGGTTCCATGGAACCATTTAAAAAATTTGTATGTTTTCTTAAAAACTAATATAATAGATAGAGAAAAAAACAGCAAAAATAATCATCTAGACATATAAGGCTTATAAGCTAAGAAAAAGGACTGCAGTTCAATGATAATTTAATATAAGAATGGCATATTTTTGCAATGTGAGTGATTAAGACCCCTTAAGGAATGATATGTGGACTTTTTAAAGAATTAGTTGTCGTGTATCACTTACAATTTATAAGAGCGGCAACTGTTAATAAATTGGTCAGTTTACGGCAGATTTGCTATTTGATCATTAAACTTAGAAAAAAAATGTGAAAGTGTATGATAGAAAAGAGAATGGAAACAAGGAAAGAAACAACAACTGTACCAAAGAGCAGAAAACACCCCAAGGCCACCAATTGGTCTTCGATACAGCGAGAAAATCCCACACTCATTGACGGGATTCAGCTGGCCCCTAAACAATGATGTATACTAGTTCAGCCAAATGAAGGCCACACTAATATTCGAAACATACAAATGAACCAAAATTAGAAAAACACACAAAGACTAACAATGGCTGGAGGTTCAAATTTTGGGATAGGTGCAAAAATGTGGCAGGGTTCAAATAAGTTTTGTCAGATCTCAACAACCCCTTATACCTCTAGCCTATGTGGAATAAACAAACACACAAAAATACGCACAGAAAAACTCAGCTTAAAAGAAGTCTGAGTCCGATGTTAGAATAGGTAACAGAAGAAATTGAGCAAAATGACAATGATCAACATAAATTAACAAAGGGCTTCTAGCAGTTTAATTCTGACATGCCAGCTCCTGACCTCAATTAAACTGATAAAAAAATAATGTCTTCATCATATGATGCATTTCACCGTTCCTTTATAAATACATTAATTATCAAGTTGAAGTGACAATGTAACAATCATTTAGGGCAGTCAGAATTAAATCAGTAAATTAGTAATTAGGAAATTACTATAGTTGATTGAAGGTATACCAATTAATGTGTTTTCAATCACTTGCAATTATTTTTTAACACATAAGAATTTTACTCACACTTCATTCTTTGGTTTGTAAACTTATAAAACCATAATCTGTCATATGAAATTAGAAAAACAAAGGATATGGGGTATCCATCCATGGCACAAAATTAGTACATGCACAGCAAAAAACACATTGCAAGCAAAAGAACAGCACTTTTATTGCTGTTCTTCATCTCAAAGTCACAGTGAGGCCTTCAACACAGAGCAAAAAAAAACTCTCACTTCACTGCAAGTTTAAGATGTCATCTAACACAGGTTTTGAGCAGAATTCTTGCATTTTTGTGCTTTGTTTATTTTATAGCTTTTTCATCTTTTTTTTAATCTAGGAAACAATAAATCAAAACACATTGTTTGGAGACTGTCAAAATATTGTTAATCTGAGTCTGACAGGAATAGAACAAGTTACAGATTTGTTGTTCTATCAAATGATGTTATATACGGAGTTACCTAACCTGGCTTTGCTGAATGTGTCAGGTGAGTATACTGGTACCAGTTACATAAAGATGAAACAAGTAATAGGTCCGGGAACATAGTTATCGTCCCTTGATTTTCGACAAATATAGTCCCTATTGTGGACAGTGTGTTACTTGGCATTTTTTATTATACCCTTTCCAAATTTAATCTTCACGTTTTATGCCTCAAATAGTAAGATGAAATTACACTGTAAAAAAATTTGCATCATGAATTTTAAAGTAAAGTAGTGATTTGATCCAGCTAAAAAAGGTTAAAAATTAGTATTTTGGAAGCTGTCAAAAGAATTCAAGACCCCCTTAACATAAAATTGTCCATATTTTTAGGTCGAGCTTATTAAGTTTTCTATAATTTTGATATAATTTGTCCCAAAAGTAGTACAGCACACTGTATAAATATTATTGAGAAAGCGCAGGTGAGATTTTTTTAATTTTCAGTTATTGTCTAAAAGAAATGCACTACGAAATAACTGTGTTTTCAGGCCTAAGTCTCTAATTTTTAGTTCACATATTTTGACACGGCTTAATGTAATACGTGCCAAGAAGAATTCACTGTCTAAAAAGTGTATGAATAGAGTGTCATACAATCATCACATTTGATAACAAATTCCAGGTCAAGATGTAAAAATTATAAAAGTTCTCTCAAAGATATATACACCAATCTCAAGCAAGTTTAATTTATGGATGAATTACACAGATTGATGTTATTGAACAATTGTTTCTCACTGTGATGTAAATACATAATCATTGTGCCATAGGAAATATAGGGGGAAGTATACGAATTCGAAAGTTGTCTATAGTGATAGAATATTTTTGTTCCTGTATTTATATATACGTCTTCACAATACTGTAAATAAATGCACCTTACAAATAAGAATTTATCATGGAGGAATCTCTTTTATTTCCAAATAAAAATATGTAGACATTCTGTTGCATACAGAATCTGCTTAGATTTTCAAATTGACATTACCATACTTTGATAAAATTAACAGGACCAATTTTTCTACACCAGATGCCCATTTTAACAATAAATGCCTCGAGCTCTTCAGTGATACTCAAGGCCAAAATATTTGAAAATCCAAAACTTATTTAAAATGAAGAGCTAATAAACCTAAAAATTTGTATGGGTTCCGCGGAACCCAGTGTCTCGCCTACTTTTGCTGTTAGTCGCAGGCTCAACAAAAATGGGGAAAAAATTATTAAAAATTTTCCTCTAGAATTACTATCTTTTGATTGTAAGAAGTTCTGTTCAAGTTTGGTAAAAATCCAAAAAGGTTTATGAATCTAATAAATGTTTTAAAAACTTTAACTGCAGACTGTACGTAATGTTAACTGGAATAAAACTAAGTCCATTTATAAGTAATACGAAAAAACAGGAAATAAATTTTTACAAAATTTCCTTCTAGATACTAGCTTTTGATCATAAACAAGCTTCTGTCCAAGTGTGGTACAAATCCAGGATAGTTTAAGAAAGTTATTAAAATTTGAAAAACTTTAACCACAGAGTGAATGTTATGTTAACTGGCAGAAAAACTAAGTCCATATATGAGTAAAATACGCATAAACAGGATTTTTTTTTTTACAAAATTTTCTTCTGGATACTATCTTATGATTATAAACAAGCTTCTGTCCAAGTTTGGTACAAATCTAGGATAGTTTAAGAAAGTTATTAAAATTTCAAAAACTTTAACCACAGAGTGAATATTTGTGGATGACGACGACTCCGACGGAATGTAGGATTGCTATGTCTCGCTTTTGCGACAAAAGTCACAGGCTCGACAAAAAGGACAAAATATGTTTATTTTTTTAACATTTTTATTGTTTCAGGGTGTCCCCATATAACTGATTCTGGAATGAAATGGTGTGTACAACAGTATCCATATCTCAGTGAGGTGAGTTTTTAATGTTTTTTGTTTCGCCTGCGCCGTCCTTGTTGGCGTTAACAATTGTTAAGTTTTCTGCTTAATTTAGTTTGAAAAACACTACTTGTGATAGATCAATGATATTTTGTATGAAGTTGCATAACTATCAGTACATATCAGTTTGATGACTATTTCAAGGCCCTGCCCCTAGGTAATGGTCCAGTGAATTTGAATTGATTAGCAATTTTCAATGTTAAGTTTTCTGCTTAAGTTAGTTTGTTAGGAACTATTTGTGATAGATCGATGATATTTTCTATAAAGTTGCATTACTATCAGGTCATATCAGTTTGATGGCTATTTCGAGGCCCTGCTCCCTAGTTCATTGTCCAGTGACTTTGAATTAATTACCAATTTTCAATGTTAAGTTTTCTGCTTAAGTTAGTTTGATAGGAACTACTTACAATAGACAACAGTATTTTCTATAAAGTTACATTACAGTCTGTACATCTCAGTTTGTTGACCATTTCTAGGCCCTGCCCACTAGTTCATGGTCCAGCCACTTTGAACTAATTAGCAATGTTGCTGTCAATCAGATTGTGTTTTTTCTGAATTTATTCCAACGGGCGAGACGTATCTCTGTGTCAACAGTTTATTAAGATAATGAAAAACTTTATTGCTTAACAGCTTTACCAATTCCAAGTGGCTAATCTGTAAATAGTATATAAAAAATGAATGAAAGAAAATGTGAGGCAAACATCGATGAAACTGAAACCCAATTTAAAAAAAAAATCTGCTATTACCACCAAATTTCCTTAACCAGAGAGATACGACATTCAGCAACTACAGATGAGAATCCAGACTTGGATCTCCTTATTTTAATATTGGGACGGGCAGTTGAAAAGATTTAATTTTATGCTCACCATGCACATTGAAAGCAATCTTTACAGCGTGTGGTAATTTTAGTGCAACCTGATTGCACTTTTTATTTCATGTGTTTTTGTGCATGAAGTTCATTTATATGCACTATGTTTTGTGCAAATTGGTAAAAAGACAATGTGTAAGCTATTTTGTTTGTTTTTTCATTCATCGTGAAATGACAGTTTTAGTTTGCTTATTGACATACCCCCATGTTTGCGACGCTTAATGACTTCAAAGAGTAGACTTATCAATGAAATAAAAAAAGAGCAAATTGTTAATAATGTTGTTTGCTTTTACAGAAAATGTGTAGTGTTGCATATATTGGAAATATACTAATGAATAGTCTTGCCTATAATATGAATTGAATAAATTGCAAATAAAGTTATACGATATTAAAAAAAATGTATATGTTTATTTATCTTTGATTGATAGATATATTTGAAAGGCTGTGAGAATCTGACAGAGAGAACTCTCCATTACTTCCTTGATCCAACTTGGAATGTTGTGGAATATATGGACATGACCAGTACAGGATTATCTATTATTCCAGGCAAAATGGGTAAGGAAAAATTATTTTTTCCAACTCCCAATGGTTTATATTTAGTTTTACCATATTGTTAGTTCATTGGAATTATTTATTGTCTTAGGGTTATTCCAGAAACAAAATATATGGAGGGTTGGATGACACTTGAATTATTTTTGTATGGGTGGGGGCAGGTCACAAAGGTCAAATTGTGGGTTATATATTCAAAGTAAAATGCAATTATATGCATGATGGCCATGAAAAAGTGCCTTCCACCTACAGCTTTTATTCATGTTTAACTCCTTTTCCAAACATTTTGGCAGGTACAGTTATACCTCTTCCTCTTTAGGTGAAGCTTTTGGTACAGGAAACAACCTCTTCCGAACACTGGACATTTTCCCAAATTAAAAATGCCCAATTTTGAAGTAAAAGAAATTGATATAATTAAGGATTGGTGAAAAAAACTAAAATTTGAAATGGAAAGAAAATATTAAAGATTAAATTTTTGTATCATTACAATAACATACAAAAATGTGGGTAATTGTGTTGTGGTGTTTAGAGATGTGGAATGCATGTACAAGCCGTGTGATGGAACTAGCATGTGTAAACAGTTGAAAGTGTGTGTATTACATGTTTAAAAGGTGTTAGATGACAACGATGTATGCCATATTATCGTCTTTTATTTTAGAAATCATGCTTTTAGTAATTGTACCTTTCGGCTAACCTCTTATTATTTACAGGTAAAATGGTCAGCATTATTGGAGCAATTGGTTGTCCGCTGATATCACCAGCTACTGAAATCTACAGAACAAAGAGAAGGGCCGCATTGTTAGGTAAAATTTCTGACTTAATACAAAAAATCCATAAATTAATATTTAAATGTGTTTATCCATGTTTGTTTCAATATAAAAATAAGATGATGTGGTATGATTGCCAATGAGACAACTCTCCACAAGAGACCAAATGACACATAAATTAAAAACTATAGTCACCGCACAGCCTTCAACAATGAGCAAAACTCATACCGCTTAGTCAGCCATAAAAGGCCCTGAAATCAGAGAAATGACAAATGTAAAACAATTCGAACGAGAAAACTAACAGCCTAATTTATGTACAAAATAATGAAAGAAAAACAAATATGATACACAGCAACAAACGACAACCACTGTATTCCATTTAGGTTCAGCATGTGGTTAAAGTCTTTTAGACATCAATAACTTTGTCAAACCTTCATGGGATTTTATGAAATTTGGCGCCTTTAAACTAGTGTAACCCTGTCACATTCTGTATGTGCCTGGACGGAGCCTGTAGTTCAGTGTTTGTCGTTTGTTGCTGTGTAAATCTGGTTAAATGACAAAGGACTTAACATTAAAACAATTAGAACCTGTAGAAAAATTCACATTTCTAAAATGTTATTAATCATATATCATTAACATCTGTGTACAACTGCAAAAAAAATATATTTCATACCTTTTGCTGTCAATGACATATTTTTGTTATGTTATAAAGTTTATAATTATCAAGTCGTCATTTCAGAATCTAAAGGATTGTGGGTAATTTCATTGTTTATACACTAAAATGAAAATGATGTCACACCATTATATCCATTGTTTACCAATCACAAAGTTTAAGTGTACGTTTTTGTCGAGCCTGCGACATAAATCTCAAAAGCAAGACATAGTAATCCTTGATTTTGTCGTAGGTGTCAACATATAGGTTCAGCCTGTGGTTAAAAAGTTTTTCTTTGTCAAACCTTCATGGAATTTTATGAAATTTGGACAGAAGCTTGTTAATGACCAAAAAACAGTATCCAGAGCAAAAATTTGAAAATATTTATTTTCATTTTTCCATATTTTACTGATAAATGGACTTAGTTTTTTTACAGTTACATTCAGGCTCAGTCTGAGGTTAAAGTTTTTCAGTTATCAATAACTTTGTCAAACCTTCATGGAATTTAAGAAATTTGAAAAGAAGCTTGTAATGACCAAAATACAGTATCCAGAATGTAGAAGCATTAGTTATGGCACATCTTATTTCCATGGAAATTATTTGGGTCTGCCCTTTCAGTTATTGTCTATTGACTTTGAATATTTTGCATAGTTTAAATGTTAAGTTTGTGATTAGATCAGTTTAAGAAAGACTGCTAATGTTAAGTCAATGATATTTGGTATGCAGTTGTATTAGCAGTTGGAAGTCTCTTTTCCATGGTGGTTATGTGGCCCCCACCCCTCACTGGCCCTCAGCATGGTTCATTGGCTTTGAAACTTTTACATTGTTTACAAATTAAAGTTTTTGTTAAGGTTATTATAAAAAGAACCACTTATGATAAGTCAATGGTATTTGGTATGCAGTTTTATAAGCATTGGCATTTCTTATTTTCATTGGGTTATTTGGTCCTGTACCATAAATCATGGTTCATTGACTTTGAATGTTTTGCATAGTTTACATCTTTAAATATTGCCATTTGGATTCAATATTTGCATTATACTATCAAAGTTACAAAAAGGCCAGACATATTTCTGTGTCAGCAATTTATTTATATTATAATAATTTTTATATTTTTTACTTCCATTTTAATTTTCGTCAGGTTACCTTAAACAGGGAATATTACAAATGTTGGTTATTATGTTTGCCTTTTTATTTTTACAGAGACACCTTTAAAGGATTTACCTGTATATAAGATTGTGGTATTGAAAGATAAAAACTGTCATCATAGTTTCTACGAGATAGTAACTAAAAAACCACTGACGGAAAGGTACCTTAATATCTATAAGGATTACAGAGTGGAACCTCAGGATCCCTACGTATATAACATATATGAAGTGGAAGTTGGAATGGTAAGTGAGAAAATTTTGTATTAAAATGACAGTAGAGATATGGGGTATATGTCAATGAGCAAGGAACCATAGGACACAAACAAAAACCATCTACCGTTCGACATATGGTCTTCATCAATAGACAGCTGTTAATTTAATAAATCAAGCTTTAAATGAGGGCATGAATGGGGTACCCAACATGACGAATGACGGTAAAATATTTGTTAACGATAAACATTTTACTCCATTAAAAATTATGGCTCATTTGACACTTGCGATAACAAAAACCAGACGTTTGACGCTTGACGATAAAGGGCATTCCTTCCCTCCTAAATTGTCAAGAGTCTATCACAATCTGATAAAGATACAGATTCTGTGTCCACGCTTTGCTTCCAAAGATCTGTCAACAATCTGTCCTACTCTCTGTTCTGATAACTTTTTATATCAGCCTATGAAATGTCAGTCTCCAAATTTTTGAAGGTGTGAATCATTACGACAAAACTTGTGTAAAGAAAGTTAGAAAATAGCAAAAATAAATTGCTATTAAATTGGTTAGAAAGGTAAAATTTAGTTGGTTTACAGTATGTTAATTATAACATGTTTATCAAATTGACATGACAAATGACATTTCTGCACTCAAGTATTTAGAATCTTTCTTTTTATTAGTTTGTCAATAAATAAACAGGATTCAAAGAATTAAAGTATTTTAGTACTTTTGCAATTTTCGGAGCCATATTTTTACTTTTACCGCCTCCTTTCCAACAATTGCTCGTGACATTTTGAAAATTCTATTTATTTTTATCTATATTTATTATTTTGCAGGGCTTAGAAAACTTGGTGTTAAGTAATGGGTGTATTGTTATACTGCCTTACACAAATATCGATCCAGACACTGTCAATAAACTGACCATTCAGCTTGTTCATTTACTATCCAAGGTAACTTTATTGGAATGTAGAAAGATATGTTTTTGTGGGTTGACTAATTTAACCAGGCAGTAATAATTCCATGGATTATGACAACAAACAATAAGAACTTTCAGCTAAGATGTAGTTTTGATAGCTAAGGACAAAATTCATGATACGTTTTTCCAACAACTCTACCATTGCTTCACAATGGCTGAACAAGTTACCCTTGATTGCAAAACTTCTGTAATTTTCTTATGTGCAAAATTAGTCTGATCAAAATATCTTTTTCTTATAGGCTATAATTCATGGTAGAATTCAAGATTTATTGTTTTATGTTGTTCTAAAAGATTCCTACTAAGAAAATGAAATGAGAATTTATGAATTTGATATGTTTTGACACTTTATCACAATTGATTAACTTGACAGGTATGCCAATTGGCATTCATTCATTTTTTTTTAATGAAAATTTGCATCCAGCTAGAGTATATAGTATATTTGTGAAAGCCAAATTTTTCATTGCCATGAGATGATGAGAGTATATTTATTGTTTAATATTTCAGTACCCTGAGTGTATATTTGTGATAGCCGATTTATCAGACACTGGAGGCAAGACATCAGCTTCTATGACAAGGGAAGTAGTCTCAAACCTTGCTGTATGGAGTGAAAAGTTTGGTGCTGAGCAAACAGCTCCTCTGTAAGTTTTATACATTACATATGTTTCTTTGAATGATAATGAAAGTTACTGCCTAAGTACTTTGTATTACTGTGTACATATGTTGAATTGATTTGTAAAGATGAGTTGTACTTGAAATCAATATTTTGGCATTCATCGCCTTTAACCTTGTGGTACAAAGTTTGTCTTCAATAATTGTTGATGTTTTTTGTAAGAAACCCTTTTGGCTACCAATATGATACATACAGTGGATTCATTATTATTAGTGGGGAACCAGTTATTGTAGATATAGTAGGTAAAGGTAAACAATGAATTCAAATGATCAACAAAGTATACATTGTCTTTATCATTGTATGTAGACATTGGCTAATCCAAGAAATCAAATATCCATAAAAATACATTTTTTCTCACTCTACATTAAAATAAGTACCTAGGAAAACAGTACAAAGAAGTCTGATAAAAAAATCATTACTAGATCGTGATGAATCAAAAAGGATATAAGAAACCTATCAATTGTCATTTAAAAAGACCAATCGTGATTGAAAGCATAACATAATAAAATTATTCACTCTGGTTTAAAACACTTTTGATTTACCTTTATTTCTTTTTCAGAGCTGATTTGTACATGGACTTCACTTTTCCACACCAACAAAACTTAGTAAAAGCTCTAAATTTAATAGAGAGTATACATCAGATCCAGAAGAACAAAGACAGTGCTTATAAATGTGTTTGGGATGTTGACATGGTAAATAACATTCAGAAACAAAGACTACACTCCTCCCCACTCATTAGGATTCTTCTATAGAGCACACACATTATGAAAACATTCATATCACTAGCAATTAGTGGTACAGGGCCAAATGTATACAATCCTTTCTAAATCCTTTTTATGCAGGTTGTCAGTCAACATAATATCCATTCTGAATATTTTGTTGTTGGCAGTGCATAATAATGACATTTAGCCCTTAGATTTAGTGGTGATTTATGTCTGCAATATTCTAACTTTTTTAGTGCACTCATATTAGAGGAGATATTTATTTGATGCATTCACCTAATTTGTCAACTCGTGAAAAATAAGTTGGTTTGCAGTACTTAAATGAGAACAATGAAATAAGGGTTGCTTTATTTGTCATTTTATTTTCTGGTAGTCTTCTATATCTATAGTTTACCTTAGGGTATACTGAATTTATGCTCATTGATCTTTAGGTATACTTATTTTTGCATGTACATTAACCTAATTTGAGTTTTGCTCTTTGACCTTTAAGTATTGGTTTTAGCTTAGTGACCCTAAGATAATTGGCTGTTATACCTATATTTTTATTTGCTGATTGCCCTTTAAACATTGATTTTTCTCATTTTTAGAGACCTTGTAGTGACCCATAGATAGTCACTCTCCTATACTTGAGTCTTATTGACAACAACACCTACTCTAATTTTTTAATTGATATATGACTCATTAGACTGTAGCAAGGAAGTTGCATATGTAATAAAAATGGATAGATGGATATATTCCATTCAATTATTAAATATTTTCAAGAGGTTACATTAGAAGTTTCCTTGTAATATAATAGTCTATTGTTTTTTTCTTTCTAGTCTGGTGGAAAGAGCAATTCAACAACACTTAAATTTCTCAATAAGGCAATAACATCACTGAGAACAATTTTTCCATGGCATGGGAATACATATCACTCAATGTTACCTGATTGGGTGCAAAAAACATTTGGGAAATCAAAAATACGACTTGGTAACTTGATAGAAGTTCTCAACACAAGTTCAGATTCTATGAAATTCAACATGAATTCACGACCAGGAGGACCATACAGAGAGCTAGACAAACTTTTTGAACTGAGGCACCTAAGGGTAAGATATTTAAGTGTTTTAAAAAGTAGATTTGCATAGTTGTTTAAAAATGTGGTTTTGATTTAACAAGGAAACTTTCAAAAACTACATTAGAAGGTTTCTTAACCCCATTTAAGACATTTTCTCTGAGGGATAATATTCACCAATATTCACCCAATAATCCTTTTATTGTATAGCTAAGCTTGAAAAACTGCTTAAAACATATTTTTGTCACTGGTGATGGTGATAATTTGAAGCTTTATTTGCACTAGTGCAATATCATAGAATATTATATGCTAACTTTTCATTACTCTCTGTTGGAAATATTATGGTACTGTGCAATAATGTATTATATTGCGTTAAACTGAAAACAGTCAATCGATACAAGTTCTGATATTATTTCAACTGAGTTTCACTTAAAAGTTTGTGGAAACCAATTCTGATATTATGTCATATATTTCAATATATAATTTTTAGTAAAGGGTTATCAGGTAATGTGTTACAAAAAACAAAACCCCCAATCTTTTTATACTGTTTTCATCAGTGGATAAATTGCTGTATATTCCTAAAAGTGAGATGAAATATGCCAAAGGCAACATAGAAAACTAAAGACTGAGTAACGCAAAATCCACCAAAAAACTGGGGGTGATCTCAGGTGCTCCAGAAGGGTTAGCAGATCCTGCTCCACATGTGACATCCGTTGTGTTACTCCTATAAAAAAGGTTGATAAGATATATCAAGTGATAAGGCATCCCACAATAGCGGATTGGTAATCATCTATTATCTAACCCTAAGACATCACCAAATTCATAAAACCATTGATCATGTAAATTGACAATGTAAAGCTGTTTATAAAATTTTTTATTGCAGGGTGAATCAATATACTTTCCTAAGATGACAAACAAACCATGTTTTATAGATTTAGTAGCAGTCGGTGATTTCTGTAACAAATCAGCAACTAAATTACTGAATCCGGTAAAAAAAGCACCAGTAGCTGGTCTTGGTTTAAATTATCCATGTTTCACAAGACAAGATATACATGATTTCTTACTAGGCACACAAGAGGAGGTATTGTAATATTGTACTTATGGAAAAACTAATTAAGTTTATTATAGGATTAAAAGTCCTTCTAAAGGAATTTATTGGTGTATGAACTGGACCAATTCACTCACAAACAAATAAAAGTCTAAAGGACTTTTATGATATGTTTGTTAGTGACTTGGTCCAGTTTATACAATAATAAATTCCTTTAAAAAGGTGTTTAATCCTTATAAGTCTTTAGAATTGGAGATTATTAATTTAAATTCTCCACCCGTAACCACTATCACACGTAAATTGTATATTTGTGTCTTTGAATTGGCCTGGCGAATGAATATATTTTTTGGTCAACGCAAAAAAAATTCAATGAAATTTGCTTTCTGATAAAAAAATGAACTACAAAAATATCTTATTATCATTCAAATGGATGTTTTGTGTTTATTATTAAATTTAACGACGAACGCGAAGTGAAAATAAATATTTTTAACGTAGATCTGGTTTGTGTTATCATGGCCGCCATCTTGTTTACATTGGTTACAAAAAGTAGTTCTGTCAACGTTGTCTCTTGAAAAATAAATAACTTCAAGAGCCACTACTGGAAGCCCTCTCGACCAATCATATAAACATATTCCCTAATTTGCAAATCATATAAGAATTATCATGATATAGTCATTTACAGTAGAAGCATCTGTTTCAAATGTTCTGCTGAATTTTCATATTGATTCAGAAAGTCTTGAATGAACCAAGATCAAATTTTAAAGAAATATTTACTGCTCGATAGTGATTATCGAACTTCGACCTTATTTTCATTTTTTTCCACTAATTCTGTTATGTTCTCCCCTTTAAACATTTTGAAATCTATTTACCCTACTTTTTTCAAATATACCAAGAACTCAGGCTTCTGTAACTGACATATTTGCCTCCATGTTCTTTCTGCGATTTGTCCATTTGGTTTGATCGTCAAAGAGACATGCAGAAAAGACTTGTTAGGTTGTGAGCTAAGGGTTCAAAATCTGCCTTAACATAATTGTTTAGTACAAAAAAAATATATTCTAATAACATTCACATGTAACAATCCCGAATGACATTTACAATTTGCTCAAGATGTTAAGCAACTATTTATCAATTGTCACTCTCGAAACTGGATTTTATTTAATGGATGTAATTTCAGTTCTTTTTATTATTTATCAATATTTTTTTTCAGAATGATATATTTATCAAGGTTTTGGAAGAGAACCATACAATTGTAAAACTACCGATTGTCCACCGACATCCAGTTATCAAGGATCCAACTGTCTATGTTGTCAATGAAAATCTACCAGAGAAACCACATTTACCAATTGTAAGGGCACAAATGTATCCCACAACCATTCTATATTGGCAATCATACCACATCTCCTTATTTTTATATAGTTCTTAATAATTTTGTTAACACTGAAATAATCACATAAAATTTAAGTCAGAAAATGATGACATATTTTTCATGTCATCCAAGTCAATTTATCAATGAAATGTATGCATTGTCATTCATACAACAGAACAACTATCTTAACATTTTGTATGTGAGTAAAAAGAGTTTTATTTAAATACTGCATGAAATTTTATATTTTACCTCAAGAAACATTTTATTTTGTTGCTTGTTTTTTTATTTTTTTTTTTTTTTATTTTAATTATATGAATAAAACAAAAAGAATATACTTAAAAACTACTCACACTTTCACTCACTTCTTATTAAACACATTGTCATATTACCATGAGTATGCCTGAATGTCAATATATAAAGCAAATACAACTAAAATTTGCTAGCTACCTATAGCTCGCATAAAGTATGTGTATAATAAAAACTATAAATAATTATCGCTTTTATAAATTTTCCATGTTCTATATTTTATAGGATCATTTCTGGGATGGGAAGTTTGCAGATCATCTTTACTCTGGTAGAAAATACAGGGTACCAGTTTTACCTGATGGACTGTTACCTAGTGTTACAAGGTAGGTAACCACTAACATGATATCCATTTAACGTAAATTTCTACTTTTATAAACTTAGGTTGTTTGTTTACCATCTTATTAAAGATTACCTTATATCTCTTTTTATTTTTATACCCTTTTTATTAATTGTCAAAGGGTTCTTTTTACATTTAATCTTAATTTATCTTACTGTTTTTTGTCCATTAAGAATTTAAGAACATAACATATTGAAGTGTGGTGAAATACATATTATTTTCTTCATTTACAAATGAATTACATTCCTCTCTCAAAATTTGTGTAATTCTTTCTAATGATCTAAACTGATTGTTTTCTGCTACTTTACAATCCAAGATGGCAGAAGACACCTGATTGACTTTTTTTTAAAAAGAGCCTGGAATTCTTTTTATTTTCAGCCATTTTGTGAAAGTTGCCAAAATATGCCTGATATGGAAAGATGGTATTATCATGCAGCAAGGTCCACTAACTTATATGTTGGAAATTATTAGGAATGGTATGATATTTTATTTTTAATTTTAATTTTTTTAATTGAAAAAAGGTATAACAAATAATTCCTTAGAACAAACTCTTGTGTTATTTAAACTTTACCAGTATAAATCAAAGCTATGGAAATAAAAAAAGTAATGTGGAATTTGTTATGAATAAATAAAATGATGAACAATGCACCAAAGAATATATACAGGATACAGTGCATTGGAATGTACCACATTTAATGTATAGTGAAAAAATATAAAAGAAAGATTTTATGATTTGAACTTATAAGATGTGTACCACAATAACTACTTATATTTCATGGATGTCAAAATTTGATTTATATTAACATAGTTTTGGTTTCAATTTTTAGCCATTATTAAAACTTGATTCCTTTTTCTTTTCATGACAAGGTGACTACCCAGGAGTGCTGATAGAAGGCAAACTTCATTCCAGAACTAAGCCAGGTGATGAAACATATCTTGAAGCAGACAGGATGGTCTGGAAGGGTCTAAGGGGCATAACCACTGTGTTTGAAAGTGTATTGATGAATGATAATATCTATTTCACAGTAAGATCATATTTCAATTACGTTTCACTTATAAGAAAATTTACATGAGATATTATAAGTTATATGGTTTGCTCTGACCCCATATGGATCCATAGAGAATTAGTAAAATCCAGAGGGGGTTAGGTGGAAGGCCAAATCCCCTATGTATTTTACTAAACCTCTATGGATTTATAGGGGGTGAGTTGTGAACCATATAACGAATTTATCGCACACAGGACTTTTCCTGCTAGGTTATGTATAAAAATAAGTATTGAAATTCAATAACATTACTAGATAACATCAATATTAATAGTAGACAGGACATCATAATACCCCTATGAAATCTGCTGACCCCTACAGATCCATAAGGGGTCACCAGGTGATTGCGTTGAACCAATCACAATGTCACTAATTTACCCAAGGTGCAATAACATATCATACAGCTAGCTTGCCTCAGTCTAGTTTTGTTTGATTTTTTTTTATATACTGTCAAAAACTGTGAATTGTTTGATCTTTTCTCTAATTCTTGAAAAAAATCAAGTTATTTCATTTGACAGAACTACTAATTTCTTCTAATATGTCATATCAGAGTCAGAGTGAAAAAACTAATTAGGATCCCACAGATTAATTATTGGAAGGCATATATAATTAGCTTGTCCATGCATCAGTCAATATCAGTGTGTCTAATCTCTGCTTACAGTTTTTGTATTTTCATATTATGCTACATTCCACAGAAACTGCATGTAATTCGTGTATATACAAACTGTATTTAGAGTTTTGATATACCGTAATCTTTAAATGGGCTGCAATTTCTGCATATTATGAAATTATCTGTTTAGTTACGTTCAAAAGTTGTAAAAGGATACTATGGAATCATTTATGTTTGTTGATTGTAGATTAGTTGTGTTTTTTTTCGAAACTTAATTTGCCTAGTTTTGACTACTTTTGTATGCCAAACCTAAAAAATGAACATATTTTTTCCTGGTTCACCTATACCCAAAGAATCCACAAAAAATAATTTCACATGGATTATAATGAATCAACAGCAGTTTTGATTTTGTATAGGAAAGAGACTACTAAGACTGTTTTCTTTAATAATTAGTGCAATAATAGTCTAGCAAATCCTGAAGTTTTGACTGTTTTTGTATTGCATTACCCAAACTATTACTCTGTTTACATTACACAATAAACATATGTGAAAGATAAAGTTTTAAAACTTTTCAAGATGCAAATTATATTCTATATCAATTTTAGGGAGAATATTTTTACTATGATGAGAAGAGTAAATTTGACAGAACAGATGCATTAGAATGGTTTGCTGGAGTCAGAGAAAGACCATGTAAGTTGTAATGTATTATAATCCCGTATGAATAAAATAAAATACAAATAATGGGTATATATACATATCAGAGAGAAAATCATTGATGATACTAAGAAAAGGAAAATCACACAGCCCTAAAGATAGGCCTTCATTCAATAGAACAGTATGGGACTAATCTGTCATGCATGTGCTGCACATTTACAGATGGTTTATTCCTGGTGTGCATTCTAAAAAAGAAATCATGCCCAATTGATAAATTATAAAAAATCATATCACTAGTTCAAGAAGCTAAATTTCAAGTTATAAAAACAATTTGACATATCTGAAAAAATATTGATGCATAGAGAAATACATTCTATAAATGAAAATTGATTTATTTCAGATATGTGTGACAGTGTCCAGAAACTGGTACCCAATCATGCAACACTGGAAATTGAACAAGGAACAAGATGTTATCAGTGTGACAATTGTGTGACCAAAAATTTGGAATGTGAACACAATCTGTCTACTTACAGATACAGAAAGTAAGTTGTTCCTCAGGTATATATTTGCTGGATTATTTCCTGAAAAATGTAGAGGCAAATATATTTTATAAAATGGTAATAGATCCATATTTAAGTAAATAAATCAGACATAATTCGATTCTTTATTCGTTTCACTCTGAGAATATGTATTTTTATTCACATTCCTACCCCCTGTATCACAAACGTTCAATTTAAAGGTAATGAAATAGAAGGTGCCTTGTTCATCAGCTTCTTGTTAAACAAAAACTTATTGGTACATAATTTTACATAAAATGGTCTCAAAACTACAATTCAGGGCATTCTGAAACTTGGAATTAAGCGTCCTGTCAGCATGCAATAGAATGTGATACACTTTCACATCCATTGTTCATCAACTAATTGTTTTCTGAATACTTCTAGTGGGGGTTTCATTTTATATGCTCACAGTTCAATTTGTTTTTATTTAAAAGTAAGTTGAAATTCTTGAAAAATTGTCCAGATTGCAACTACACTTTTCTTCACATTAAAATTGAGAATGGAAATGGGGAATGTGTCAAAGAGACAACAACTCGACCAAAGAGCAGAAAACAGCAGAAGGCCACCAATGGGTCTTCAACACAGCGAGAAAATCCCACACCTGGAGGCGGGCTTCAGCTGGCCCCTAAACAAAAATGTGTACTAGTTCAGTGAAAATGGACGTCATACTAAACTCCAAAACATATAAATGAACTAAAATTAAAAATCATACAAGACTAACAAAGGCCAGAGGTTTCCCTAATGATACATTCAATACACCAGATAACTATGTAAACACGATTGTTTTTTATTTTTTAGTGAGTGTGGTTGTAAAGAATATGCTCCATTGTGTAAAACTTGTGGAATGTGCTCTACCTGTGTCAATGCTATTGGTGTAAGTATGTTATTGAAGCTTGAGAATAGTGTTCTAATGTTCAATACACACAGTGTGTGTGTTACTCATACAAAATGCTTTGTTGACTAAACTTGAAAGTCAGTCTATTTTTAGATGGCAATAAACGTCTAACATATATATAATTACATTTGCATTTGGTAAATTTTTCTGTTGTTGTTATTTTGTATTTATTTCGGGGTATACACCCTGGATATAAAAAAGACTGTTTAAAGAGCGAAACCAGTCTATTGCATCTGGATATTCTTAGATAATCATATATATATAACCCTGTGATGATCAACGAATGTAGCCCTCATTACAAGAAACATATATTGTAATAATATTTTTGTGGATACAGTAAAACCCTTTGGACCATAGGAAACTGACCTTATAAGAGTGACATACTTTGAATAGGTTAAAATGCATAAGTATTAGGCCATACTTAAAAATATTTTGGTTTTCCCAAACCCTATCCAAAGGTCAAGACAGTCAGTGTCAGATGTTTATTATTCTTCATGCCTATCTGATTAAAAAAAAAACTTTTTCACATCAGGACAATAATAGATTTTGAGTAGGCAGCTATTTTCTGGGTAGGTTAGGTTAGAGCTAACAAACATATTCTGTTTTGTGGCCTTACTGCAGTGGGACAAGAAGAGGGTGACCTGACAAGACAATATTTTTCTTTTCCTTAATCAATGTTAATAGAGGTTTCCTTTATAAAAAGTTGACTATTTAAAAACCTTTGTTTTTTCACTTGATAATGCTTATGTTGATATATTTTATAGAAAGCTGTTTCGACAGTACAGCCAAGCTTCAGAATGACGAGAGATACAAATATTGATAAATTGAACGTAACAGGAAGCATCATAAGTTATGGAGGCAACAACTTGGAGTATATCTTCCGAAGTGATATGTCATATGAAGCATTCAGCCATCTCAAGATTATTTTACTCAGAGGAATTTCTTACAAAATCGAGCTCACTAATATAGAGTAAATATGATTACCGTAATCGGGCTTGTATAGTTCGCATTGGTACATAGTCCGCATCCCCTTCTCCCCACGAAATTTCGGTTAAAAAAATTTTTTGTAACTGTTAGAAAAGGTCTAATGAAACTCCGGTAATTTTAGATCGTGTGTGGTCGTTTGTGGTATTTTCTTGGAAAAACCTACTTTCCATCACCAAACAGAAGCTGAAACTGCTTGTAAATGGTTCTAAAACACTTCACGCTGGTTAAAATAAGTCTAAATCACACAAAAAAGAATTTAGAAACTTGTGTATGTTTAAACCGGAAGTTTGAAAAGCACGTGTAAAAGATGAAAAAACCCGGTGAGAGTTGAAATCCGTACATAATAGATATCACTATAATACGACTTTGAAAGGAAAACAGTTCCCTCCTTATGTAAAACAGTGTTTAATATATCTATCACATTAATGTTTGAAGGGTCTTAAGCTAATACAAAACATATTTGTCAATAGGAAACACCAAAACGGAACAAATAATATTCGATTACGTTTTGTAGTTTACACATCGTAAGCTGGTTTACGGTTGTTTTTTTTTACTTTTTTTGTACGATTTCATTCAAGCAGATACCAGTTTATATTTAGCAATGCATTGAAAAGAAACGAGAATTTTGTAATGAAGCATTTAATTTTAAAATTTATCAGTATTAATTTGATATTGAATAAAAATAACTTATTAATATGGATTGAGTAAAATTATTGGTTTGAAAATGGATAAGAGCGCCCTCTACAATGTCAATAACAAACATGGCGGAACGTAAACAAACCACATCGCGAAATTGAAATTTTCTCTCTTATTTCTTGCTTATTGTACTCTATAGTCAGCACCCCTGCTGTCAGAGTCAATTTTGGAGAATAAAACCCCGGACTATACAAGCCTTTCAACGGTATTTTGGGAGACTCTCTTATTTTTATAATGTTTATTGAAATGTTTATATATATATAATTGCATACTTTTAACATAATTTCACTTTATTATTTGTGTGTTAAGTTAAGGTCTTTAATTATATTAAAAAATCTAGATCTAATATGGAATAACTGTAACTATGATGTAGCCGGGTTGAAGAGAGAAAAAATCTTCATAATATGTCTTTTACTTTTTTAAATGATGATTTTAAATTTATATCAATGACCTTAATCATTTTGTTTATTCGAACCTTAAATAGTAATTAATAGTTGGTTCACTCTACAACCATATACCGGTACACATCTTATATTAGAAAGTCACTCTTTTTTTCAAATTTGGAATCTTTTAGAATTCTTTTTCTTGAAAATTGATTCAATAATACATTTTGGAAATATTGAAATAATTTTATTTTTTGCAGAGATGGTCACTCAGTGGAAATGATTCGTTACCAGACTATAGAAGGTAAAATAGAGAAGATCTCCATCTCTGGTAAGGAGCAACAGGTCAAGGACACCAAGAAAGAGAGACCACTTGAATGTCATTCTGGATACATTATAGAATTACATATTCCACGTTTTGATGTAAGTCTACATAGTTGCAGAATTCTATATTACATATGAATACACATGTCTAAATACCATGTAAAACACATAAATCCTCATACATACATAATTCTTAATGGCATATATATCTATATACCATGTTATCACCTATATACCATAATAAAATTGAGAATGGAAATAGGGAATGTGTCAAAGAGACAACAACCCGACCATAGAACAGACAACAGCAGAAGGTCACCAACAGGTCTTCAATGCAGCGAGAAATTCCCGCACCCGGAGGCGTCCTTCAGCTGGCCCCTAAACAAATATATATACTAGTTCAGTGATAATGAACGCCATACTAAACTCCAAATTGTACACACGAAACTAAAATTAAAAATAATACAAGACTAACAAAGGCTAGAGGCTCCTGACTTGGGACAGGCGCAAAAATGCGGCGGGGTTAAACATGTTTATGAGATCTCAACCCTCCCCCTATACCTCTAGCCAATGTAGAAAAGTAAACGCATAACAATACGCACATTAAAATTCAGTTCAAGAGAAGTCCGAGTCTGATGTCAGAAGATGTAACCAAAGAAAATAAACAAAATGACAATAATACATAAATAACAACAGACTACTAGCAGTTAACTGACATGCCAGCTCCAGACTTCAATTAAACTGATTGAAAGATTATGTCTTCATCATATGAATATCAGGTACAATCCTTCCCGTTAGGGGTTTAGTATCATACCATCATAACATATATGAGAAGAACATAACCCGTGTCATGCCAACAACTGGTTTTTAAATAAATGTGTTTAGTGCCGATGCAAAGACCCTATAAGTGAATCAATATTAACGCCAAAATATGCAATCTTTAATGACCTGACAACAGTATCGTAACTATATCCCTTCTTAATAAGTCTATTTAAAGGTTTTGTTAGTTTCAGAGGTGAATACTGACATTTTTGTGCTTTATAAAGAATATTTCAATAAAAAATTGGATGTGAAATACCTGAACGTATAAGAAGTCTGCATGTTGAGCTATATTTACGAATGATGTCCTTATACCGATGATAAAATTTAGTAAATGTTTTGACTAGTTTGTGATATCGAAAACCCTGGTGTAATAATTTTTCAGTAATACATAAATTTCTCTCGTTAAAATCTAAAACATTGTTACATACACGAGCGAATCGTACAAGTTGAGATATATAAACACCGTAAGATGGTGACAAGGGAACGTCACCATCTAAAAATGGATAATTAACGATAGGAAATGAAAAATCATCTCTTTTATCATATATTTTAGTATTAAGCTTTCCTTTAATGATATAGATATCAAGATCGAGGAAAGGGCAGTGGTCATTGTTAGTATTAGCTTTATTTAAAGTAAGTTCAACAGGATAAATTTCTTTAGTATACATACTGAAGTCGTCATTATTGAGAGCCAAAATATCATCCAAATATCTAAAAGTATTATTAAATTTGTGTATCAGATGTTGTTTCGATGGGTCTTTACTGATTTTTGTCATAAATTGTAACTCATAGCAATACAAAAAAAGGTCCGCAATAAGTGGTGCACAGTTAGTCCCCATTGGAATTCCGATAACCTGACGATATACGGAATCTCCAAAGCGAACAAAAATGTTATCTAGTAAAAATTCAAGGGCATATATAGTATCAAAGCATGTCCAATTGACATAGTTTTTTTGTTTATTGCTACTAAGAAATGACCTAAAAGAGTTTGAACATATATATTCACATTCTGACTTTTTAAATGCCCATTTAATTAGGTGTGTGAATTTTTTCTTAATGAGAATGTGAGGCAATGTGGTATATAGGGTAGAAAAATCAAAACTTTGAACAGATTCAAAATCACCAATATATGCATGCAATTTATCAAGTACTTCCAACAAGTTCTTGACACTCCAAAAGTAATTAATTCCACTATTTTCGAAGGCCTTGTTGATCATTTATCTATTAAACTGTGCGGTTGTTAAACATCCTTGGCTTTCAATTAGTTGGCTTTGAGTGTTCCTGATGAAGGTAAATCCTGAAAAGCGCTTCAGACGCATGAAATTTATAATTATCATCAGGAAATTTCTGCATTGCCTAAGTCTTTATGCATATAGAATTCTATATAAATGTACTTGTACCATGTTATAACACAAGTCTACATACAGAATTCTATATATCATGTTTTCACACATTGCAAACAGAATTTTATAAACAGTTACTATTACATGTTATCATATGTCTGACTTCTGTGAGTATTAATGAACACAGATGCGTAAAATGATTTCTGTTACAAAGGCATTTAACTAACATATTGGCAGATATATGTAGGAGAGCCGAAAGATGCCAAAGGGACATTCAAACTCAGAAGTCGAAAATAAACTGACAACGCCATTGCTGAAAAAGAAAAAGACCAACAGACAAACAATAGTACATTGTACACAAAACACAACATAGAAAACAAAAGATTTAGCAACACGAACCCCACCAAAAACTGGGGGTGATCTAAGGTGCTTCAGAAGGGTAGAAGCTTCTTAACATAAAAAAATATTGGTCTTAATTATAACCCCTGTTTTCTAAAGTTTCTTTTCTATACATGTGTTTTGTGCATGAATAAATCACAGTGAAATTAACACATATATTGTTTACATGGATTATGAAAGTAGTTTTGGCAACATGGTTTATCGAAATGTAAACCAAGGACAAAAATTCTAATAGGCCAATCACATTCAAGAACCATAGATAGGTAAATCATATAAGAAATATACCTTATTGTCAATAAATTAGTATTGCCTACTTTTTAAACTGTTTTCTTTTTTTATTAGCTGTTTGAAATCCATCAGAATGGGCGAGTTATATACTCCTGGGAACTACAAGGACCATTTATACAAGTAGCTGTGACAGCCAATGATCCAGGGAATATAATGATCTCTTCAAATCATTATGTTGTATGTACACATAACATATAGATTTATATAGAACCTTGTTGATCATTTATCTATTAAACTGTGCGGTTGTTAAACATCCTTGGCTTTCAATTAGTTGGCTTTGAGTGTTCCTGATGAAGGTAAATCCTGAAAAGCGCTTCAGACGCATGAAATTTATAATTATCATCAGGAAATTTCTGCATTGCCTAATTTTTGCTATATTTGCAAATGCATTTTTACCACAAATTTTACCTAAACAAACATTTCACTGTCTATTTATTGTACAAGTCTGTACAGGGTGAAAGTTGAGCAAATTGAATTTGAAATGCCCTTCTAAGGCCTAAACTCTGAAGAAAAACCTTACATAAAAATAATACAATATAGATATCATTTGATGTTAGAAATTTGATGATTCCCCAAATTTAGTTGACTACAATTGTTGGGAATCTTCATCATTATATTTTTTTAGAATTTGAAAATAATGCAATCTTCCACAGCACATTTCAAATATCATTTTGGTATGTAAATTTGATATTGAAAACAAATTTGAACTCTCAAAATATCACAAATACAAGTAACAAAATTTTTAACATCACAACATTTTTGTTTTCTCTGTAGAAATACACTGAAATAAAGATATTTAATGCACATTTTTTTCATTTTAATCGTGTCCTCAAAAGTTTGCTGCATAAATCAGCTTTATAGAAAAATGAAATGTATGTACCCATTGGTGGCCTTCAGCTGTTGTCTGCTCTTTGGTCGGGTTGTTGTCTCTTTGACATATTCCCAATTTCCATTCTCAATTTTATACTGTATGACTGCATTTTTGTTTAAGGGACTGCAATTTTCATTATTTAAAAAAAAACTCAAATTGTAATTTCTAACTAAATGCTTGCATTTTTTTTAATTGATCACACAATTGCCAAGTCTGAAATAGATTCAAAACTTTGCAAATAACAAATTATGATCCACCTAGAAAATTTATATCAACTTATAAAAATTTAACTTTTACTTACTAATAGCTACAGAATCCTAAAACCACTGAATTATATTTTACTATAAAGACAAATAATTTATTTTGTTCTTAAAATCTTTGAATAAAATAACTTTGTAATGCGATTTGATAAATTATGGTTCAAATTGTTGTGAAAGGCATTTTAAAGACTAAAAAAAATGTCTAATTACAAAAAAACAACAAAAAACTGAGTAGATGAAGTTCTTAGTTTTAAATTCATTGCATACTCAATTGACAATGTATGTTTCTATAGACAATATGTAAATTTTTATGGTTAACAAACTTTTTGATTCACAGGATTTTCAAGATAGATCAACTCAAACAGAAACAAGTTGCTGTGAAATGAGCCTTCCATCATGTAAGTTTTATTTATCTTTTTATCCTGTTGCTCTACAGAAGTGGTGTTTTTCATTGAAAATCAGAACTGCGTTAAAACTGGATACAGTCTCAGTCATTTGCTAAATGTTCAATTGACATTCAATTCCCAGTGATATGAAAGTGATCTGTAGTTTGCCATTGAAGTCACAAAGCAAGACAAAGATAATAATTTACCTCACTAGGAAATAAAATTTCACTTAATTTTTGATAAAAGTAAATGCCTTATTTTGTTACGTCTGAGTGTAGATTTCTTCTTTCTTCATTTTCACAACATGCATAGCATAGTTTATTAATCTTCAATTAATTGTGATATTCAGCAATCAGCATTAAATCATCTAGTCCAATGGGATAATAATTGACAGGGAGGATTCTTTATAAATGTTTGATTTATGAAGGAACAAAAGTTTATGAAACATTTTTAAATTCTAAGATACATTCAAAAAGATCAGTCATAAGATTTAAGTTTGTGAAACAGAAATGTGAATCATAAATTTAATGACACAGTGAATGTAATATTTTTTTCCCCTTATGTACCAGTCAGTTGTATTTTTGGAACTTTGGAAATATTTTGCCTTTGGGTGGTCTTTCCAATGGATTGGTAAATAAAGTGTTTAAAAGTTCTGCCATAACATGTCGAGATGATGTGTACCTTCTAAGTTACATTTCTTCTTGTTGATCCCATTTGATTCATTTCTATCTAAATGCCTTTTGTTTACTTGGTTCTGATTTAAATAGGCATGACATATTTGGAGATTGACAATAAGGGAATAACAATAAATTTTAAAAACCTTAATGGAAAACTGTGCTTGTATACATATTTATATATTTTACTTATATTAAAGGACATTTTTTATCAATTCCAGGTGTGGAGAGGAAGTTAACATTAGAATTTCTGAGAGCTAGTAATTTTATGTTTGCAGAAGCTAAGGATTTTTCTGGTAAATATTAAATATACTTCAAAAATTCATCTTTTACAGAAACTGCATGTTTGGGTATTACATAGATGTAGCATGTGTTTTATTAAAATAATGTGACTCAATTTAAAATTAAATTAATTTTCCATATTTTATTTTATGTTCATTTATTAGATCAAAGTTCAAAGAAGCGTGAAAGTATTTATATTATGAGATAGTAAATTTAGATTTAAATATTATATGTCAAGCCTGACAATAGCAACAATTTTGGTGAAATCCTATCGAAAGATTTTGCACAATTTATAAAATAAGCATGCGCATCAATTCATATTTGTTTTAAATCTTATAACAATTTGGTAAACTTTAAATCATTTGAGTAAATTTAACCATTTACCGGGCTGAACTAGAGTCAGCTAACCTCATACTATAAATTCAGAAATTATTGTAAGGTTTTTATTAATGAGAATAATGCAACTCTTTGAGTTATGATATCTGATACTTATGTGTGTATGTACCTTTTCCTAAAAATGCAAAAATTAAACTTGCGTTTTCGTTCGTTCTTCAAATATCACAATAATAAAAATATTTTCTAAATTTACTGTATTTCATTCAAATATTTTTGACAGGTTGTTTAGGCTGTATTTTACCAGAAGGAATGACTGAAATAGATCTGACAAACCCTTCTCATCAGATCCTGAACAACAATAGGCTTCTCATGCCTTTATGTATGACAAAAAGTAAGTTTGGAAATAAACTACAGACAGTAAAGTGTCAAAAATATGCAACTTTTTATTAGATCAAAGTTTACATGATTTAATCAATTTCATGATTGGATTACAATGAATCATGATTAATAAACAAAGATGTTTGACAATATGCACAAGCCCATGTCACGAGACTGTTTTGACAATGGACTTGACTCCTGCCTAACCTAGAAACTAATTACTCTGTGGTGCCATTACCCTGACGTTTCTCAATTTCAGCAGTAAATTGTTAAAAGAAAATTAATTATATGAAAAATACTATGCTATCCCCTGAAACTGAGCCTTCTACATTCTTTCATCATTATCATCTTCAGCAATAAGCCATTTAGTGGATTGAGTTGATAATTGGCAGGAAGGATTCCATTTAGCAGATTTATAACTCCTACTTTGCTTTAAGTTCTTTCCTTTTATAATCTATTTCTAGCTAAGGAAAACATATAAAGCATAAGTTTATAAAATATTTATCGATTTTTAAACTCGATCAACTTGTTGATTCTTTGAAGTACAAAATTTCATAATATGACTTTAGTGAATTAAGCATTTGGTGACATCTACATTATTGAAACTATTAAAATATTTCACTGTTTGCACCACCAAGAATTAAAGTTTTGGAGGTATACCAAAATATCCAAATAATGCACTTTTTTCTTAAAGAAAATCTGAGGAAATCTGAAGTGGTATTTACAAAATTTGGCAAAAACAGGATTTGATTGGTTATGCTATTACTGTAAATTCAGAAATTATTGCGTGCATTTATTATTGCGATTTTTGAAGAATGGACTGAAATGCGAGATTAATTAATGCGATTTCAGGAAAATCTGCATACAGTTATATGTATCAGATATCAGAATGCAAGTTTTTATTATTGCGATACTTATTTAGTCGCATTATTCGCATTAATAAAAACCTCGCAATAATTTCTGAATTTACAGTATATTGAAAAAAGCAAGAGGAGCTAATGTGTCAAAATCCTTTAAGAAATATTACAGATTTAATTCAATTTGCAAGGATATAGTTATGTATTTAACAAAATTGTAAAAAGAAAAGAGGGGGTTCCAGGTTTAAAATTTTCTTATTATACTTTTCCAAAAAACCTAGAAGAGCTAACAATAATGTAAACAGATAGCTACCTTGACCAAGAAGAACCCTTCAGACGATGTTTTCTTTTTACCACAGATAGATTTGCAGATGAATGGTACCTGCAGAAGATGGTACACATGGTTAACAGTCCAGGATTTCCGGTATCACAAGATGACAAGAATATGACAATAATAGGAATGGCATGTAATGGCTTGTTAGCTCATTACCCCTATGTTAGTATAAACTATTGTCAAGGAACACATTTCTGCATCATTTTAACTGCATACAATGATCTATTCATTACTCCTGATGTAATAATAAAGAGATCTGGTATGATGGTATAATGAGACAACTATCTGCCAGAGTCCAAAGGACACTGATGTTAACAACTACAGATCACCATACGACCTTCAACATTGAACAAAACACATACCAAAATATAGACATAGCAATTTCTGCTTGTATCAATTTGTTGATCCACAGCTAGTTGAAAAGGGCTTTAGAGAATTTAAACTAAGTTGACTCTTTTACTAAACATGAAGTTGTTTACCTGCTATTTTAATTTTTGTCACAAAATCATTACGCAAAAAAAAACAAACCTAAAAGCAATGTTTTTCAAGTCATATTTAGGCCTTCAACATGGAGCAAAAACTCAAAAGTTCAAGATGGCCCCTAGCAAATTAAATGTTGATTGTATATTTATTTAATTATTTAACATTTGTTGGGGTTTTTTTTGCAGTTGCATATTCCAGACAATTTTCAAAGATATTTGCAGGTTACAAAAGACCAAATGGATGTAAATCTAGTAAGTAATATTATTATATAATTTGTAGTAAATATAAGTATATGTTATGTGTAGTACAATCAATGGCATTAGTTCTGTATCAGCCATCTGTGATGATATCAATATCAGTCACAGTTGTAAAGTCTTTATGAAACCTCTAACTTGTATAACATCATGTCACACGAAAGCAGAGCTCTTCAGGATTCTATTGGTGTCTCAGGTTGATACCTTTATGATATTAAAAAAAGCCATGTGATATTTTCTATTTATATATGATATTTTTGTCAGAACAGTGATAAGGCTGTAATAATTTTTAGAAAAAATATTTCAGATCAGTGTTGTGTCCATCTAATATGCTTCTTATATGCAATTTAAACAAAATTAATTGCACAAAAAGAATTGTAAAAACGATTTTCAAAATAAGCTATATCAATTTTCTTGGCTATATGTCATACAATTTAATTGCATTTAAAACTGTAAACCAACTTATTTTTGCGGATACTTTATTTCTCGTTTATGAACTTTTAGCGACTTCGCAACAACTTATTTTCACGATTTTCTAAACTTTTTTATGTATTTATATAAGGGAATTTCCAATCTTAACATATTGGCGACGACTTATATTCTCTTTATTTTTTTACTCATTAAAGTCGCCAAAATAAATCACTTGCGAAAAATTAGTTGATTTACAGTATTGGTTTAAATAATTGCTAAAAAAATGATGCCATGAGGCATATTTTGGGACGCGCCAGGCACTGCCTTTAAGGGATGGTTATGGATTAAAGGATGATGGCATTGTTAACTTCAGGCTGGAAGACATTTTTCTCTTTAACATGTTTAATACAAAAGATCACAACAAATTTCCTACTAAATACAATACCTTATCGAGATGAATTTTATTGTTTTACAGATTGAGAAGGGTATGCATGAGATTATCAGACTGTATGCCATGGATATGATGTTAGAACTGGGACTCCAGTACTCATTCAATGGACAACTTCCTGCTCAAATTAGGAAATTATTTGTGGTAGGTACTTCAACCTCACCAGAAGCTTTTTTTTTATAAACATGACAAAACTACACTGAAGTTTAAGGAATTTTTCACTTGTTAGTTTTTTTTATAAATTAAGGTAAATTTCATGTGGTAATTACACAGTAGTCCTTGTACAGTGTCTAAATGCATCCTTGATACATATTTTTTGCATTAATCGATTTTTAGCTAGGTTGGACAAAGTCCAAAACCAGTTTATAGTATGGTAATGTTTGCTCATTGTTGAAGGCCGTAGTGTGACCTATAGTTGATAGCTTCTATGTCATTTGGTCTCTGTTGGAGAATTGTCTCATTGGCAATCATACCACATCTTATTTTTATAGGCAGTGAAAAGTTGGTACCTAACTTTTGTAATCGCTCCTCATAACTTTTCAACCCTGAATGATTACACATATATTGAAGTTGTGCACCTGCTATTATGGAATTGTTTGAATATTTTTTGCCTTTTTTCTTGAATTGGAAACTTTTAGCAAAATGTTTCAAAAGGTAACAATTTTTGTTTTTAACCCAGATGTTGGGTTTGCATGTATGAAGAAAAACATACAGTAGAACATTGAAATTTATTGTCAGTCTCAAGCAGATTATTAGACTTTATAGCATATCTAGAGTTTATCATTTTTATATCATTTTAGAATACATTGGAGCCCCTTATTTGTGACTCTGAAAAGTCAGCTTTGATTGCTACAGAAAGTATTCTGATGGAAGGAAAGCTTTTACATTTGTGTCAAGGTCACAAAGCTGCATACCAGTCAAGGTCAGACTTTGTAGAGTTATCTCCCATTGAATTTGGTGGATACACAAGATTTATCAGGGATATAAAAATTGTAAAGTCAGGTCTTGTTTCAATACCAGAGGATTTCTTTACGTCTATGCCTTATCTAATAAGAGCAGAGCTTTATGAAAATCTTTTGGAGAAGCTTCCAGATTCCATAGGAACATGTAAATTTTTACAAAAATTGGATGTGGCTGACAATAACTTGAGTGACTTGCCAGAAAGTCTCGTAAACTGTACAGAGCTTGACCGACTGGACATTGGTTGTAATGTGATGGAGGCATTACCTAAAGTTGTGACAAAACTCAAATTGAAGAGACTTATGATGAACAACATGCTCCTGACGTCACTACCAGAAAACATCGGTGATATGGAATTGTTAGAAATGTTATATGCTAGCGGTAACTGTTTTACAAAACTACCGAAAAGTATCGGTAAACTAAAAAATCTGATGGATCTGTCCCTTGGTGGGGTTCAGTGGTTTGAACTTAAGGAAGGAATATATGTTAACAAGCAGATGTTTGAAGATTTCTTGTTCAGTTCTCGTATTGGTCCTTGGCTAGCTGCTCACAATGAGGTAGGTGTCAATGTGGTTAATTCAGTTTCTTTGAGATGCCTAAATTGGATAAAAATGGCTTTTTGCAATTAAACTTGTGTTGTCTAAGTGATTTTGGTCTTTTTAAGTTTTTTTATTTGAAATTTCAACTGATTTGTGATAGTAACATTACCAATATTACTGCACAAGATGCACATTTTATAAACAATAAATGTCTCTTCAGTAATGCTCAAGGCCAAAATATTTGAAATCCATAAACAAATACAAATATTGAAGAGTTGATTAAACCAAAAATGACAAAACCAAAATGATTTCAAAAATTTTAATAGCCGCAAATTTCATTAAAATTAATATTCAAATTTTCATGTCAGTTCCGAAGCTACTAATAGCATGTACCATTTCTCCAATATAAGAAGTTCAAAATAAATACAAAAGTTATCCTTAGTTAAACTTTGATGTTTTTATGCCCCACCTAGAGGCATTATGTTTTTCGGTCTGTTCGTCTGTCCGTCCGTCCGTCCGTTCGTCCATTCGTCCGTCTGTCCTGCTTCAGGTTAAAGTTTATGGTCAAGGTAGTTTTTGATGAAGTTGAAGTCCAATCAACTTGAAACTTAGTACACATGATATGATCTTTCTAATTTTAATGCCAAATTAGATTTTTGACCCCAATTTCACGGTCCACTGAACATAGAAAATGATAGTGCGAGTGGGGCATCTGTGTACTATGGACACATTCTTGTTCTAGATCTGTTTTTTATGGAATCATTGCCTCCATTTTTCAATAAGAATAAATCTTGTTAGGTTATGACTCAGAAGCGAACATGTTTTCCATTAAACACATATTCTTGTTTTCCATTGAATTTAAAAAAAAAGTCCTGATTATTTTTTTATGCCCCATTTATGGGCATTATGTTTTTCGGTCTGTGTGTCCGTTCATCCGTCTGTCCCGCTTCAGGTTAAAGTTTTTGGTCGCTTCATGTTCCCTATGATATGATCTTTCTAATTTTAATGCCAAATTAGAGTTTTGACCCCAATTTCACGGTCCACTGAACATCGAAAATGATAGTGCGAGTTGGGCATACGTGTACTATGGACACATTCTTGTTTTAACATGTTTTGTGGTTTTATGGCTGTTAACATATATTTTTAAGATAAATGGAACTGAATTTTTCCAGGATATTACTGGCTAACACAATTCAAACTTTTACAGCATTTCATTGTATGCACGCTCTGTTCATTTCATACTGCACCTGTTAAAAACTCATTCTTACAATTTTAAAAGTTATTTTTTTCTGATTAATGAATAATTTTAGACCAATGCATATTTATTTTTTCAGGACAAAGAGAAGCTGTTTCATAATTTTGACCTTGATGCTAACAACGTCCTTGACCATAAAGAGATGGGCAATGTGAATGCTACATTATTCAACATTTTCCCAAGATTTGGATACAAAGGAAAAGAACCCCCTGGTGAGATATCAAAATGACTTTAGGTTAATAGTGAAAATATCAATGAGGTCATCATGGAATGAAAATTTGATTTGAATGAAATACAAAAAATCACTTTTTCAATGTGTTCATATAAATTTAGTTATGCAAGGGAATCCATTGTCTCACCTATGATAGTGTGGAGGCATTGTGTTTTCTGTTCTGTGCATTTGTCAGCCCCTCCATTTCAAGTTTAAGTTTTGGTTTAAGGTTATTATCCATGAATTGCAGTCACAGCAATTTGAAACTTAGTACACATTCATTATGATGTGATATTAAAAAAATATATGCCAAATTAGAGTCTTGACCCAGATTTCACAGTTTGCTGAACATGGAAACTTGATAGTGCGAATGTGGCATGGTGTCCTATGGACATATATTTTTGTTTCTTATATTTATATAAAAGTAAGTTTGAAATGTCATTACAATTATTTTTTGACAGAGGATGATGCTCCAAGTGGATTTCCAGAGGAGATTTTTGAATTGACCAATCTGAGATATCTGAACTTACAATACCAAGGCATTGTCCATGTACCTGAAGGCATAGAAAAACTCAGCAACTTAGAAACATTAGTCTTATCATACAATCCAAATATGTTGTCAGTGGCTGGCCAGTGTGGCATGCTGCCACTCAAAAGTAAGTTTAAAATACACCCCAAACCTATTTTAAATTATTGGTCAGCTAGCTTCCACTAAAAAGTCTGTTAGGCATACAATAATAATCTGTTGTCCTTATAATTTTATATGTACATCTTTTCTAAAAATAATTTGTTCCAGATATTGGCATATGTTGACATATTTGACCAAAATAATGTATTCTAAACCATTGAAGCTTTCTGTTTTCCTATTCTATAGGGTTAGACCTTTCCTACTGTACATTATTGAAGACACCACCCAAAGAAATCCGTGACAGAGGATTCAATACTATATATGCTTATCTGCGTCGTTTAATGACAGGATCAGTGGAATGTAAAAGGACAAAGTTAATGTTTGTAGGATTAGGTGGTGCTGGGAAAACAAGGTAACTGTAAGATTTGCAAAGTCATGAAAATTTAAATTGTTAACATTGAGAAAAAAACATTGATACATTTGAAATTTTGCTAAAATTATATGTGATTTTATGCAATGAAATAATTAGTATTAATAACATTTTCCAATTCTAATGGGAAACTTACATTTTCTACAACAGATTTTTGGCAATATGACCTATTTATTGTAAGAAATTGTATAACAGGGTTAGTGGCAGTTCCAAATTTCAACTATTTCATCACATGTGGAATGTCTTTAATTTTGTATAAGTGATATTCCATGTGAACATATTATGTACCCAAAAGTAATTTCGAAAAATTGATTATGGTGGTTATCAGATTTTGAATGATATTTCTATAACTTTTTGTCTAAAATTTGAATTTCCTAACACAAGTATCTCCCATGTTGAAATTGAAAGTTTTACATAATGTATACATTTCAGTTTGGCTAAAGCATTGATGACAAATGAGTTCCAGACAAGTCTGACAGGAGCACAGGCTATAACTGATGGTAGGTGTATTGTTTGCATATGCTGATTAGGTAAACAAACACAAAGATAAGTGCTTTTTAACACATGAAAAAATTATAAAAAAAAATATTATTTCAAATATAGAAATAAGAAGATGTGGTACAATTTCCAATGAGAGAACTATCCACTGAAGACCAAATATCAAAGAAGTAAACAAAAGTACATTTTGCCTCAACTTAGATATTTGAAATTTGCATATTCCTCTATGCCAATGTCAAATCAAAGGAATACACATTTTCTCAAAAAAATATTATAATGTCCTTTCATTGACTTTAGAACTATTAGTTTTCAAATTTAGAATGTATAATTACAGAAAATAATTGAATGTAGGCTCATTTTGAACTTTAACAGGGTTATAAAAGCATAGCATAGTTTAAGAGGGAAGTGATTTCACACTTCATAAAAATATGATATAGTCATATAAATCCAACAAAACTATGTATTCAGTAACTAGTAAGTATTTTTTATTTTGATACTTTAGGTATTGATATTTGTACATGGACTGTTAACCATGATGGAGAAAAAGTACAATACAGTGTGTGGGACTTTGCTGGACAGACAGTTTACTACAATACCCATCAGGTATGAAATGTTTATTTCAATTATTTAATCAATTGTGGTCTTGTACAGTGATGAGGGTATTTATACATAATTGTTGTGTTTGTGGTTTTACATTGCAAATATGAGTTTTGGAGTAAAGTTTATGTTATTTCCATGAAGATTCAAACAATTTTAACCCCAGTCACAGAGTAGTGATATATTATAATCATCTTGTCTCTCTGTAATTATCTTTACTTATTACATCAGCTTTTTTGTAATATGGATTGATACATATTTTTCTTATAATAATTATTATACCCCCGCTTTAAAAAAGTGGGGGTATACTGTTTTTTATACACCCGCTTTATTATACCCCCGCTTTAAAAAAGTGGGGGTATACTGTTTTACCTCCGTCTGTCCGTCCGTCCGTCCCATGAATATTTTTCGTTGCATCTTTCTTAGGAACTACATTACAAGGATTTCTGAAATTTGGTTTCTGGGATTTTTGAGTCAGCTATACTGTGTGATACATTTTAAGATTCATCACTCAACAACTTCCTATTTACCTTATACTTTCAGCAGGGCGGGGGTATCATTAATGAGCAGTAGCTCACAGCTTCACTTGTTTTCCTTATATATTACTCAGCTTCTAGGCTAATATTGATTTGATATATGCTAGGAATTGATATATGTTAGGAACTTTGTAATGTAGAGTTTAATTTTTAGATCATCTCGGTATTCATTCCTGGTTGACAAAACTTTGAAACTTCATTTTACCAATCAAGTGAATCCTTTATATACCACTTGAGCATGGAAATTTCATTACATATTACTCATCTATTTTAAATTTTATCATTTTGAGTTGTTCTTGAAAGTTACCTGCAGATCGGTGGGGTTGTTACTTCCTGTTTGAAGAAACTTTTATCATACCCACTGACTGAGCATGGAATTTTTCTTTAATGTCTATTAAACAGTCGGGATATACTTTTTAAGAAGTATCATACAACTTCTTGTTTCATTTCAAATCAGCAAGGTCAACAAATGATAATTGTTAAATTTCAGATCAGCCTTATCCATAAATTGTCCCTTTTTATCTACTATTAGATTAAAACATTTGGCAAATGTATGCATTTTCTCCATAATTAAAAAAAAAAAAAGAAATTGAAAGGATAATATTTTGAACTGTGATTTCCTTTTTCTTTACAAAATTATATTACATTCAAGACAGCTTTTATTAAATACAGAAGAAACACTTGGCAAACAGAGTAAGGAAATGATCTTATAATGAATAATTTTTTTTTATTTCTTTTCAGTTTTTCCTGTCAGACAGAGCTGTGTACTTATTGCTGTGGAATGTAAGACTTGGACAAGAACATGCAGGGCTCAATTTCTGGCTCAGTTCTATCAGTGTCCATGCCAGCAAGGCACCAATCTTTATAGTCGGAACACACATGGACCAGGTATTTATTTAGGATCTGAGACTGAACTTAGTGACTGAAGTCCAGCAATGCCCTTGGCACCAAGTCATAAATATTTCAACATTAACCATATGCAATATAGATATTAATTTGCATCATGTATATTGTTTACTGAATGTATTGAATTTGCAACTGGTGACATGTAAAAGATTGATAATAATAATATTATCAAACAGATATGCAGTATTTAATTGCCCACTTTCATATTTTGTTTGTTTGAATCACCCATGTTTGACATATCTATGACACTGACAAAGTAAAATTTGTTATTTCTACTTATTATACAGCAACTAACTGAATAGCAATAAATAAAAACATTTTATTATAGATTAATGTTTCCATATTTAAAAAGAATACTAGGCATAATTGTATGTAAGATAAATTTTAACCAAATATGTAAATTTGAACAACAATATTTTCTTTTCTGTATTTGATGGTCTTTTTTCAGCATAATTGATATCAGTGTTATTAAGAAAAAATATAAAGTAAGTTAAAAAATGTTTTGCTTGACACAGGTTCCAAAAGCAGAAATACCTATGGAAGAAATGATGGCTACCTATCCACAGATTGAGGGGTTCTTTTTTGTCAGTTCATTCACTGGACAGGTAGGTCAAACAATTTACTACACTTTGACCAAATCTTATAAAAAGCAGGTTTCAGTATGGAATACCGAATTGAAGCAATCAATTGAACTTGTTAAATTTCTGTACTCTCAAACAAAAGCTAGTAGGGCTTTTTAGTGAAAATATAGGGAATAATAATTTCCATTTATTTCCCTGAATAAACCTACATCTTATTTTGAACACACTTTTTTTTTTAGGTTTATCGTTGAATAGCTTCAAGAATACATTTCAAACGTATTAAGTCTCTTAGATTATCATTGAATCTCATGGATTCAATACTTTATCTCCTGTCTGCTAAATAGCAATACAATCTCAAAGTTTTGAGAATAAAGTCAACAATTGTTTGTTTCTTGTTTTCAAAAAAATGGTGTCCTTCCTAAAAGAGTAGGTAAGGGCCATATTTGGCCCCTATTATTAAGTTCAATGTTTCAGGATAAAAAATGTTTTAAGTTGATGAAAAGACATGTGAGGAAGTAAAATAGAAGTATTTTTGTCAAAGTTATATTCTGAAGCGTTGATGTTTACATCTAAAATAGGTCAAAAACAGAGATTTTTGAAAAATGTGACAAAATCGTACTGATTTCAACCAAATTAATGCCTAGGAAACATAGAGCGCAGGCGTCGACAAACTAAATATTTGTGTCAGATATGTAAAACGCCATAACAAAGGTTATGCTAAAAGATTTTTTTTTGTCGACGCCTGCGCTCTGTTTCCTAAATTAACATTACTTCTAAAGCAAAAGTGATAAAGGGGATAAGTTGTTATCTGTTTAATTTATGGATTGATCATCTTTCTCCCTAAAACATAGGGGGAGAAACAATGTTGACAGACAAGAGGGCGAAAGACATTTACAACTTACAAGATCTTTGAAAAAGTATCATAGAATGACTTCATTTTTCACTAATTCCAAAAACGATCGTAATTTTGAACCTGCAGAAGTTTTGTTTGCCTTTCTAGTTGTTGAACATATGGTAACATTATTTTAGTATATTAAAATATTCCTGACCACTTCACAAAACTATGTAAGCTGAAAAATGCAACAATATTTAAAAGCCTGTTTGATAAAAATAAATCATAAAAACTATTGTTGAACATTTTTATTATAATCATTGTTAAAATAATGGAAACCCAATTTATTGAATGGTCTTTGAAAATCTCAATGATTATTAATCAAAATATTCTTTGATTAATTATTAAAACCTAACTTTTCCACATATCTTAAACTGCATTTTATATAAACAAATTTGATACTATTACAGGGAATAGAAGAATTAAAGTCTACTCTTCTGAAGGTGACCTTGAAACAAGACTACATGGGAGAAAAGATTCCTGCAGCCTATCTGGATATGGAAAATATTATTTTAAGGTAAACTAATTATGTTGTTACCCTTGGCATACAAAAATTATCCTATTCATTTACCTTTTTATTTTTGTACTTTTTAATCACAATTTTATTTAACGAGACCACATTCCCAGGCAGACACACTGGTGTCCTTAATATATATGCCATCCTTAAATATTTCTGTGTAACAAATTTTTCAATGAAGTATTTTCTTTTTTTCTGGAAGTTATTGGTTATAAAATTGTCAACCTTCCTTGTGAAGAAAGTAAGTTGAAGTAAAAAAGTAATAATTCAATATAAAATATAAAATAAGAAGATGTGGTATGATTGCCAATGAGACAAGTCTCCACTAGAGACCAAATGACATAGAAGTTAACAACTATAGGTCACTGTACGGCCTTCAACAATGAGCAAAACCCTTCAATTTTTTTGGGGGGATGAGGTAGTTAAACTGAATTTAAGTTAAGATTGATTGGTTGCAATAGTTTTGTGATTTTCACCACTTTCAGAACTATTGGCCAGATAGTGTACACAGAAGTGTATCCTTTGGTAGGAAAACTGGCAATCGTATTCAATTAAGATTGGAGTTGAATGCACCTGCTATGTGTGGGATTTAAACACACAACCTATAAAGTTAATGAAAGGATCATTAACATATGATAATTGTTTGAAGGCAATTATGATAAGAAAATGAACGAAATAAAATGCTTTAATTTAAGTATATATTTATTTTCAGCAAGGATCGAAAATATTTTGCCTTCTTTTAAGTAGAATATAAATTTTTCTTCTTAAAATTTTGATCACCTGTAGGAAAAGACAAGAAGATGTGAATTTGGTTGAGTATGGTGAAGTAGAGAGAATGGCTAACATTTCTGGTATTGTGGAGAAAGAAGAGGTAAATATGGATGTAGCTGCTTTGACTATAGTGATATGGAAAGTTAAAATATAAAGCATTGCAATTTATTGGTTCAGGGGAAAATAAGTGTAAATTTTATTGTTTTCATTTTAGATTGATGCAAGAACTGTCATAAAAATGTGAGCTGGTCTATTGAAAGAAACAAATAATTTTATTGTAATGACTCTTCTTACCAATCTTGGTTTAAAAACCCTGTCAATTGTTTTTGTTAAGAATGATTTTTACTACATTAGGCAAAATACTTTTTTCAACCAGATGTGAGGTCATTCAATAAGATGTGCAACAACTTGCATGCTTGAACTTTTTATGGCAGATGATGCGTGTATAGCAGGAGTTGCCTACCATGTCTATGCACCAGGTCTCCCTCTATATGGAGTTCATTTTCATGTTTGTTTTTCTCTCTTTGTTGGTACATTACAAATTAAAAAATGAGTTAGGAACATTGGTAAACTACTGTTACCTCTCATTTGAAATAATAGGAAGGTATTATATTAGCTTGCAGTGTGGATTACTACAATTGTATGCATCATTCAATTTTACAAATAATCAATTATAAACACTATAAAATTGAGAATGGAAATGGGGAATGTGTCAAAGAGACAACAACCCGACCAAAGAGCAAAAAACAGCCAAAGGCCACCAATGGGTCTTCAACACAGCGAGAAAATCACACACCCGGAGGCGGACTTCAGCTGGCCCCTAAACAAAAATGTGTACCGGTACTAGTTCAGTGAAAATGGACGTCATACTTAACTCCAAAACATATAAATGAACTAGAATTAAAAATCATACAAGACTAACAAAGGCCAGAGGCTTCTGACGGGACAGGCGCAAAAATGAGGCGGGGTTTAACATGTTTAGTGAGATCTCAACTCCCCCATACCTCTAGCCAATGTAGAAAAAGCAAACCAGGCAAAACGCACAGTAAAACTCAGTTTAAAAGAAGTCTGAGTCCGATGTCAGAATAGGTAACAAAAGAAACTAAGCAAAATGACAATGATACATAAATTAACAAAGGACTACTAGCAGTTACTAACATGCCAGCTCCAGACCTCAATTAAACTGATTGAAAGATTATGTCTTCATCATATGAATATATATAAGAAAAAAAGTTATTTGCCAAGTTGAATTTTTTTAAGGAGCTTGTGGCTGTATTATACAATGCGTCATTGATCATTGTCATCTAATTTGTAGTATCTTTACAGAATGATATTTTGCAATTTAATAAAATAATCTTACTAATTTTCTTTGATTCTGAATAGCAAAGACAAAACAGAGTTGTCTTGATTGGGTTCTTGTATGAACTTAGGAATAATTTCACTTCTAGGTTGCTCAGGCAGTTCAATTTCTCCATGATCTTGGATCAGTACAACATTTCTCTAATGAAGTTCTAAAATCAAAAGTGGTTATAAACCCACAGTGGATCGTTGATGTGATGGCCAAAGTGGTATCAGTGAAAGAATCACCTATTCAGGTAATCATATATACATATCTGCATCTGATGACCATATGATTATTCCTTGATAGATTTTGGTAGTGATTGCTGGAAATATGTCAAATAAAAAGTCATTTATTTAGGTAGCCAAAAATTCAAATAGAAAATATGGTGCACAGGCTATATCTCAACAGACTCATTTGCAGTAGTTACTAACCACATGGTGATTTAATACATATTATATGATCATTTACAAGCACAACACATTTTTGTGTTTTATTAGATTAAAGAAGCATTTTGATAAGATTTAGTAAAAAAAAATTAACAGTTAGTTTCCTCTTTGGGAGAATTTTTTTTAACAAATTTAGAAGAAGGATCATCATGAGGCAGTGACCAGGAATCTATTTCACATTATACCAAGTAGAGAGAATATGAAAAACCTTTCTCTCAGAGCTACAATTATGTAAAGGTTTTTCTAGTGATTGACTTGTACACAAATTTTGAATTTTTTGTTAGAAAGTCTAAAGAGGGTGATTGCCATTGGTTAACTATTTGACATCAAACTGTAGTGTAATTGTATAGATAAAATTGCGTTATCACTGCAATCCATATCAGGATGGGTATGTCTTTCATGAATACCTTTTGAGTGTTCTAAATATGACCAAACATGCAACAAAGATGCCATGTCATGGAACACTTAGTTTTCATTAAAAATTATCGTAAAAATTTTCTTCACAAGCATCGCTCTTCCAAATGAAATTTACTTTAGTTAACGGTTAGTTTTTTCAGGTACTGATGAGATGTTGTTACTTTTGTGTCTATCACTTAACCCAAATACTACCTTCAAGCAACTTGATTTTTTCAGCTCATTTTGTGATAAGATAGACCTGAGGTTTTTAGAGTAGGCTATTGAATATAAGTAACATTTACACTTCAGGAGGGAAAGCTGAAACATGAAGACATAGGAAAAGTGTGGAAAGAATATCCATCTAACATTCACTTCTGGTTACTACAGCTTACTGAGGAGTATGACCTGACCTTTAAACTGTCCAATGAAAAAGTAAACTTGGTACCCTGTCTTCTGCCGGAGAAAAAGCCTGAGGTATGTAGTCACATACTTTAGTAACTACTGGAAAAGTTATATATTGTAACAGTCAAATTACCTGATTATAATAAAAATCAATTAGACAATTGTTAATGGTTAAGGATAGAAATTGTCTTGACAACCTTAATTTTATCATTCAGGATATTACACAAGTAGAATGGAAATTTTATTGACAAAAACTTACTGCTTTGAAAATTAAATATTAGACTAAGCTATACTTACTGTGGATTCATTTATTTTCGTGGGTACCAATTTTCGTGGATTGAGGAAAACTTGCATTTTTGTGGATATTTGATTTTGCCAATTTCTGCATACAAAGCCTATAGAAAATTTGTGATTCGTTGAACATTTGAATTAGTGGTTCATATGAAACCATGAAACCCACGAAAATTGGTATCCAATGAATAATAATGAATCCACAGTTCCTAATTTAAGTACTAAAGAATTTCATTTTCTTTATTATTTTCAATTTTCAGATAGAAAGGTTTAAGAATACTTATGTCTTCTTCAGCTTTGTAGCTAAATAGTTTTTGTTATCCATATTTTTATAATTTTTATAATTTCTGTACTTTGTGTCTCTGTAGATTCCATGGCCTGAGATCAAGAAGGATTCAGACTACAAAGAAACAAAGATGGTGTATCACTTTGAATACCTTCCTGCAGGTCTTTTCAACAGAGCTCAGGTAAATATACATTAAATGTGTTGTCACTATCAAATATCTCTGAATAGTCAAGCTGATATCTTAATCTTTTGGGGGTCTTATTAAATATTTTATTGTAGTTTAAACCCAATAGAATAATCTCAAGAAAAGATTTGATAACACTGACTGCTGCAAACAACATTTTACAATGCAAAAAGGACAGATATTATAAAAAAAAAATGTTACAAATTTGGATATTATTTCTTGATAACATTATTACTAGCAGTGTTTTCTGTGCAATAAATGCTTGAAATACAGTTTTGTTCACAAATGATTTAATGTTTTCATCAACCCTTTATAATCACTGGAAATTAAGTAACCATCATTCAATAAAATAATCAACAATTAAATGTTTATTTTTGTACAAGTAATTTGTAATCAACATTGATTTCTTAATAAACACATGAAGCATTTGTTGATTTTAGGTTAGATTACAAGAGTTTTCAGACAGTGCTATTATTTGGAAGAGAGGATCTTTTCTCAGAAAGAATGAACATATTGCTCTACTCCACCAAAATAAGTAAGTTTTTGAAATAATATTAATTCACATGCAGTTTCTCCTTGATTTGAAAGTAATACACTTTACACTTATCTCTTGACTGATAATGAAATTTGATATCTCCTGTAACTAAGTTCTATATAAACTAGTACCATCACTTGGTGTCAGACAATACAGAACAGATTTGAATCAAACTGTTTGAATGTACCTTAATTGATGAAGTATACTGAGCTTTTGATTTGATAACAATCATTACCACTGCTATGAAAAATAAAAAAAGGGGTAAAGATGCAGTTTATGCCTTATTTCTCAAAGAAAGAAGCAGTAAGAGCAAAGCTGACATAAGGTTAAATGAGCAGATATCTTTGCTTAGAAATTTCAGAAAATGTTGGAGTTACTGCCCCTGAAATGTTTATTTTTATCAAATTCGTCATTCTTGGCTATTTGATCAAAACTATAGGCAAAAGATGAAAAATTTTAATATAAAAAAAGATCCATCTACCCCCTGTGCATTTAAGAAAACTCGAACAACTGGTTTTGGAGTTGTGGCCAGTGAAATATCACTCTTTTGTAAAAATTTTGTTTTTGGTTCTTATCTCAAATACTGTAGTAACTAGACGAAACATATAAACTGCAAAAATTTTTGGCAGAATAAAATCTATCGACCCTACAAATGTAACAAAAAATCATTTTGGAGTTACGGCCCCTGAAATGTCAATTTTTAGCAAATTTCAGTTTTTTGGGTATTATTTCAAAAAATTACAAGCAATAATAATATGAAGATGTTAATTGCAAAAATTATCAGTGTAACATGAAATCATTGCTTCAACAGTACTGCAGAAAACATATTGATTATAACTCTAAATTTTAAAGTTCCTATTTTGTTTATTTTTTAAGAAAATTTGATAAGCACTGCTAGAATGACATTAACAAATGAAAATATTTTTTCAGGGACACAGAAATGGTTGTGAAAGTACAGGGACCACGTCCTGAGAATATTTTATTTTTGGTTCATGAAGTGTTTGAAGCATTAATTAATGAGTCATTCCATGGTGTGCGGTATGACTTCAGCGTACCGTGTCCAGACTGCAATAATCGTGTAAGTTTGAAGTTAAAAAAAAATGTGTTTTCTTTTGCTATTCTAAAGAAGTAAAACAAAGTATGTTTTACTTTAGATAATTGCCAACATACATAATAAAAGGCAACAGTTTAAGTAATTCTGTATCCAATGATCACAGAAACATTGTTTTTGGAGTAAAACAGGAGAAAACATTGTGCCTCTTAGGTCCGAGTACACAGTTATCGTCCTTTGATTTTCGTTGTCCACGAATAAAGTCCCTAGTGTGGACAGTGTGTTGCTTGCCAATTTTTTTTAGTACCCCTTCCAAATGTATTCCTTCATGTTTTATGCCTCAAATAGCAAGTAGGGGGATGAAATTACACTGTAAAAAAATTTGGGTCATGAATTGTAAAGTAAAGTAGTGATTTGGTCCAGCTGAAAAAGGTTAACAATTAGCACTTCGGAAGCTGTCAAAAGATTTCAAGACCCCCTTAACATAGAATTGTCCATATTTTGAGTTAGAGCCGATGAAGTTTTCTATAATTTTGATATAATTTGTCCCAAAAGTAGTACAACACACTGTAAAAATATTATTGAGAAAGCGCAGGTGGGATTTTTTTTATTTTCATTTATTGTCTAAAAGAAATGCACTACGAAATAACTGTGTACTCGGACCTAAGAGGCGAAATCAGTAAATATAGAATCTGTACTTTGGCAACTTCCCTGAATGATTTAATGGTGTCAATTTGTCAGATAGCATGAAACTAAAGGATTTAAACTTTTATTTGATAGAAATTCTGCAAAAATTACCCATTTTGGCATTATATGGTCAAAATAAGCATTTCAAAGCTTTTTCAATTTTGATGCATAAGTGGCATTCTGACTTTCTATGTGACAGGTTTTCCTGTGTCAATATTTGTGTTTCTATGCTTTAACCCAGTTGTATTACTCATTTGTGAACTCTGAATCTACAGAAAATAAGATTATCTCAGACAATATGTGCAAAATGTGTTGTATAAATGACCCTCGTGTAACGGCCTGTTTGGATCAAGTTAAATGTGAGGACCTAGGTACATAAAAGTTGAAGTCCATAATAAAGATTTCACTAAATTTGTATTAAAGCACTTCACAATGTCTTTTGTACCTGTTTCATTTCACATAGTATCTTTCTTTTCTTATGTTAAATAGCAAGTGGTTCAAATATAAGCCTGCTGAGGCTAAAATTGCATGCGAGTTTTTCACTAAAAAGTGAAAAATCTTTGTATCAGACCATACTGTCTGCAAAAAAAGTAGAATGCAAGGGTCCCTTTATGCTCAGATTTATTGTATCATGTAACCTGAGTATAGAAATTATAAAAAAGACACAAATTTTTATTTCCTATAGCTTCAGTATGCATTTTTAAATGTAAATATGTGCTACGGCCTAAATTGACCCTAAATTATTTTCAGTCTTACTTGGCTTAAGACCCTTTTATACTAATATGGTATGCTATTTGTAATTTTTCTTTCCATTTAAAGTACATTTAATACATATGTAAGGATTATTTATAACCAAAAAACTCCACAAATTTAAAATTGCTGGAAAATAATACATCTTCATGTAAGGCCCCCCTTCATTGGAAAACCTCCATTTTTTGGCACAGGCTCATATAAATTTGACTTTTAAATAATTGTGATAAGTCTGATAAATCAAATGAGTATTCTATTGCTTTAAATATATAATATGTCATATATAAAGCCCTTTAAAATGTAATTTTTTACAATATTTTAATTTTTAAAGCCCCAAATGTTGATAGTTGAAATTTTTCAATTTAAACGTCAAAATTTAACACGCGAAGTTGAATATAGAATTTATCATATTGTCTATAATATATATCCTATTGCCATGAAACTTTGTCAGCAGTCTCATAATTTATTAAGCTTTAGTCATACCAAGTTTTATTAAGATTGGTCAAATTTTTCTATCCTATTAGGTCCGAGTACACAGTTATCGTCCTTTGATTTTCGTTGTCCACGAATAAAGTCCCTAGTGTGGACAGTGTGTTGCTTGCCAATTTTTTTAGTACCCCTTCCAAATGTATTCCTTCATGTTTTATGCCTCAAATAGCAAGTAGGGGGATGAAATTACACTGTAAAAAAATTTGGGTCATGAATTGTAAAGTAAAGTAGTGATTTGGTCCAGCTGAAAAAGGTTAACAATTAGCACTTCGGAAGCTGTCAAAAGATTTCAAGACCCCCTTAACATAGAATTGTCCATATTTTGAGTTAGAGCCGATGAAGTTTTCTATAATTTTGATATAATTTGTCCCAAAAGTAGTACAACACACTGTAAAAATATTATTGAGAAAGCGCAGGTGGGATTTTTTTTATTTTCATTTATTGTCTAAAAGAAATGCACTACGAAATAACTGTGTACTCGGACCTTTGATGTTACTTTTCATCAAAAACCATGTTTTGAGGTTACTTGGACACACAGTACCTTTATTGTATGCAAAAGTTTTCATTAAAAAAAACATAAATAAACTGAACATATTTTATAAGTTTTCAGAAGAATAAATATTAAACTAGTTATGCTTAAGCAGAAATCATGATTATAATTTTAAGATTCATCAGATACTTAGGCAATATTATCTTCCAAAGAACATGAAAGTTGATATTTTGAACTATATTTGTATATTTCAGTCTTCAGCGAATTTTGGTGTAAGTTACTGCACCTCACACATTTTGTAGTTTGTTTTTTCAATTTCTGTTTCTTTTTTTTCACATCAATGAATAAGATTTCTCATTCAGTTTCACTCTATAAATTCTCATCTTTGTCTATTCACTATTTTGATGCCCCCTCTTCTACGTAATTGGTGAATTATTCCTGTATATGCACACATTTGTCTGTCAGATTACTCAAAGGGTAGCAGTACAAAAATATGTCCTTCTGAATGTCTGAATTTCAGTAAATCCTATGTTGGGGAGGGGGATGCATCCATTTAGATGCATAGGAAGTACATATACACAGTTGTAGTTACATCTGGTCTGAAAAGGGATATTGAACTCAAGCCCCTTGTTGGTAAAATACTGTAGTCACTTTATACAAAAGGTAAAATCATAAAAATTCTGAACTCCAAGGAAAATTCAAAAAGGAAAGTCCCTTATCAAATGGCAAAATCAAAAGCTCAAACACATCAAACGAATGGATAACAACAGTCATATTCCTGACTTGGTACAGAAGAACCTAAGAGGATTGTAAAACTGACTGTTATAAGGCACATATTCTGACTCTATCTAATAGGCTCTTTGTTTCAACTAATTTTAATTCACAGTCTACTCATTTTTCAGATCTTGCAATTAATTTGATGTTAACTTGTTATCATCCTGAATATTCATAAAATATATTTGTCATTGTGTGCTTAACAAGCAATAATCAATCTATTAATCATTGCTCAGAACAAGTTCTTATTTTTAGCTCACCTGAACCAAAGGGCATGTGAGCAATTGCCATCACATTGCATCCTTCTTCTGTCTGTTTGTCCTCTGTTTTCCATTTATTATCAATCATAAATTTTTCTCTGAAAATCTGTACCCCTGAAACTCTTTAATGGACAAAGTAGCTATTATTTCAGTCTGCAATTTTTTCCTGGTTAAATCAGCTTAATTTGACTTTTCTGTTTATAACTGAATTGATAAGAACAGTTGTTTTTAGCTCACCTGGTCTGAAAGGCCAAGTGAGCTTTTCTCATCACTTGGCGTCCATCATCCGTCGTCGTCCGTTAACTTTTACAAAAATCTTCTCCTCTGAAACTACTGTACCAAATTTAACCAAACTTGGCCATAATCATCAATGGGGTATCTAGTTTAAAAAATGTGTCCGACGACCCCACCTGCCAACCTACATGGCCGCCATGGCTAAAAATAGAACATAGGGGTAAAATGCAGTTTTGGCTTATATCTCTGAAACTAAAGCATTTAGAGTAAGTCTGACTGGTGTAAAAATGTTCATCAGGTTTAGATCTATCTGCCCTGAAATATTCAGACAAATCAGACAACCCTTTGTTGGGTTGTTGCCCCTGAATTAGTAATTTGAAGGAAATTTTGCAGTTTTTGGTTATTATCTTGAATATTATTATAGATAAAGAAAAACTGTAAGCAACAATAATGTTGAGCAAAACAAGATCTACAAATAAGTCAACATGACCAAAATTGTCAATTGACCCCTTAAGGAGTTATTGTCCTTAATAGTCAATTTTTAACAATTTTTCCTAAATTTTTGTAATCTTTTACAAATATCTTCTCCTCTGAAACTACATTAGACCAATTCAACCAAACTTGACCACAATTATCATAAGGGTATCTAGTTTTAAAAATGTGTCTGATGACCCTGCCTGCCAACCAACATGGCCGACATGGCTAAAAATAGAACATAGGGGTAAAATGCAGTTTTTGGCTTATATCTCTGAAACTAAAGCAAAAGTATAATGGTTGCATTATTTCATGCATCAATTGTAAACAAAAATATCAGGTGAGCGACACAGGCTCCTTGGAACCTCATGTTTCTTTTCTTAAACGTAAAAATTAAATTTAAACACCCTTGTTTTCTCCAGGAATATGTCATCATCACCTTGTAATTCTCATACCAGGGGTAGAAATAAGATGATTTATCTGTATGGTCAAGAGGGAAAGTTCCTTTTTAAATTGACTTGCCCTCAATGGAGTTAACTTCCCCAGTTTGAAATAGTATAAATCAATGAAATTAAATTCCCCAGTTTAAGATAGTATTATCAATGAAATTAAAAGGCCAATTGGGCAAGTTGAACTGCTCGCCTTCTACAAGCAGGGGAAATCTTATTTCTACCCCTGCTTACTTTTGTATATCACTTACTAAAAATAAAATCTCTCCTTCACATACAGGATATTGATTTTTAAGGAAAATATCTCGAAGAAATTTTGTAGAAAATATAAACAGATGATTCATTTTCAAGATTGTAATGTTTTTACAGACAAAATTCTTTGTTTTATTAAAATTTTGAAGAATTGGACATATTTTTGTTATACAGTAGCCTGTCTCTCTAATCTGAATAAATTGTAATAAGTATGTTACAGATTAAATAGAATATATCTTCACTGATCTATTTCAAACTTTACCAAATAATTAGAAATAGCAGATTAAAATTATAAAAACAATGTAAAAAAGTCATAAGAACATAAAAAATGAAATTTATTGTGAAGGAGATAGAGCAATTAGTTTATACCATTAAATGTTTGATCAGAGTTTGTTGAATTATTTTCATTGAGTCAATGAAATCTCCAGCATTTGCTGTGTATAATTGTATTTAAAAGTTGAAGGGGAATGTGAAGATGTGAATCAAGAAGCATTGTTCCTGCTTAAGTAGAGCTTTTTCATTAATTACTGAATTGATTTACTTACCATCTCTTTGATTAGAATAGTTAGAAATATACATGCTCCATTCTTACAGAGTAAAAGGAATATGCATGCTCCATTCTTACAGAGTAAAAAATACAGTATCTTCCTGGCTTTTTATCACTGTATCTATTTTTTTATTGAAGAGAGATCCTTTCATATTTATAACCATAGAAAAATAGCTGCATTATCATAATGCTAACAGTATATTTCCATATGCTAATTATAGATATATATTTTTAGATGAAGAGAGATCCCCACATGTTTACAGCCTCTATGATAAGAAGAGCTTTGGACTTACAAGCTCCATTCCTACAGTGTTTGAAATATTTCCATACCATATCTGTAGGAGATTTACAATGTAAGTGCCACAATTAAACAATTTCTTTTATTACTCCAAATGTGTCTCCATTAGAGAGGAACTACCTCATTGCTATCAATGTAGCATGCTTGTCATGAGTGGGGGAGCTTGTGGTTTCAATCCCTGGACTGGTTGAAAATTGTTAATTGCTGTCCAATTAGCATGCTGCATAGTAAGGGCAAAGAAGGGTAGGCTCTGAGTTAGAATAATATGTCCTGGATAGGGTGACATGTCTTAACTGCAGACTGTTACCTTGTGAACTAGCATATTAAAATCTTACTTTGCTTGTTGGTTCAGTACAAAAAAGGGGTTCATATTCATATCACATTAACATGTTCCCCTACTGAATATGTTTGTAATAACTGCCACTGGACATTAAACAGTCATGGATTAAATAGGACAATTGATTGGTGTTAAAATTTTGCTCATATATTTATAAATTCATTGATTTTGTTTCAAGGCATTCTCAAGAGAATTATTGATTTAATAAATATATTATTTCTCAGCATTATAAAAAATGAAATTCAATTTAAAGGAAATAAATTATTATTATACCCCACTCTAGAAGTGAGGGCTATTATGCATTTACTTTGTCTGTCAGCCCTTCTGTCTGTCTCTTCATCCAATGAATATTTCCAACACTCTGTTCTCAGGTTATGATGAACATAATGACTTCATATGTGGCCAGCAGCTTGAAAGTGATCAGTTGTAATGTATGAGCAATTTTCGGATATGTCAGACACTTACTTCCCATTTGTGATTACTTTAATTTTTTTTTAAATATGTTTAATGAACTTTGAATTTTGTGTCACCTGTTGTAGTTCTACTGAATAATTTCATATTTGGTCAGCAGCTTGGCAGTATGAGTAGTAACTCTTGAGCATTTTTGTTATCTTTCAGACATTTACTTCCTGTTTGTTGTACTTGTATTACGGGATGGGGGTATGCTTAGCATGACAGCATGTGCATTCTTGTTGCATTTGATATTTAAAAAAAACTGTAGAATGTATTCATTTAAAAAGGTAAACAGTCAAACTGTGCATATCAAATGTATTTTTAAAAGTGTATTAAAAGAAGACTTTTAAAAACATTCATTCAAACTTTTCTTGTTTTATAGTTGATTTCTACATGATTATACAAAAATTTTAAACTTTACTATATATATTTTTTAGCTATTATGCCACCAGATACAACGCAGGATTATGATATACATTTAGCTCATGCTGTTAATGATCTTATGGAGTTTGAACAAGGAAAGACACTAGGTACACTTAAAGCTTACTATTCTATGCACTGCATGATTATAAAAATAAGGAGATGTGGTATTGCTATCCACCAATGTTCAAATGAAGTGGATGTAAGCAATTGAAGGCAACCATACAGCCTTCAACAATGAGAAAAACCCAAACCATATAGTCGGCTATAAATGGCCTGACATGAGAAATCAGGTTATTTTTTGCAGGCTTTTATCTATTGCATTTTTATTTTAAATGAAGTATTAAATTTTAGATGAGTATAGTATTTTCATTAATAAGAGTTTCTGTATAACCTGATTGTGAGGAAACACTAAATATTTGGTCCATGAAATTTTTAGTTAACCACAACTTAGTTGAGAGGGATCAAATTGAGTATTCTCATCTTCAGTTACAACCAGTACTCAGTAACTGATTGAAGTTCAGCCTTATACTTTTATGTAAATCTTTGACAATGAGAAATACAATGAAGGTCACAAGTCTCAATTTATTGGCTTTCAAATCATATGCAAATCAGTGTGTAAGTTAAGTTCCCATTGAATGAACTTCTCAAAGAACAAAAGCTATTGTATTAATTCAATGGGACAGTTCCTTTTGCAAAAATTCAAATGGCTAAGTAAACACCACCTAAAATAGGGGAAAGGTTTTATTTCATTATCAGTAAGCTGTTTAAAGATTCATCAAGTGGATGTTCTACCAAAATTTCATGCTTTAGTAACTAAGGCTAAGAGTTGCAGTTCTCCAATACTTTTTTAACCTGCAGTTATGTAATGATTTATGCATAAAGGATATATGGTTGTCAGCTAAGATCCTAGCTGTCAAATGCAGTCTTTTTGTCTACATCATGATATGTTAACGTTGAAAGTAAATTTTACTTTTTAACAGTTTTAATGATTATATTAGATTTAGATTTCATCTGGGAAACTGTTAAATGAGGCCAGCTTTGTGATTGTTTAATCTGTGTTTAATTATATAGTGCATTAGTATTTTTGTGTATTGCAGATATATTTATATCATACTGTGAACTAGATGCACCGAAGGACAAATCAAACGTCATTCACCCTGAAGACGTTAAACAAAAATTATTGAAGGAAAACTATAAATGGTTAGTTTACAGTTGACGTCAATATTTATATCCATGCAATTAGAAGTTAGGAGATAATGTTTTAATCCTTGTACAAATTGGGTACATGGTTTTCTCCTTACTGCTCTTACAGTTTTCAAGCTTAGAATTATTTATTTTTCACAATATGCATTTTGTACATTTACAATAGGTCTGCATATTATCAGGATTTTCTTTTTCAGAAACTTTTCACAAAATGTGTAGATCTTTAATCATTATTTTAGGTGAAATTTAGAATATACCGCAAATGCTTTGTCTACCTACCATCTTTTACAAGAATGAATCTTTTTTATTACTAGATATGACATTTTTGTCTCGCCTTGACGGAGTCAAAAAGCGAGACATAGGTATGCTGTTTCCGGCGGCGGCAGCGGCATCAACCATGTACTAGTTTGTGATTAGGTCAGTTTATGGGGAACCACTAGTGGAAGGTCAATGATATTTGGTATGTAGTTGTATAAGCATTGGCAGATCTCATTTCCATAGAGATTATTTGGCCAGATTAGGTCAGTTTAAGATGAACCACTAATGTTAAGTCAATGATATTCGGTATGTTTCATTTCCATGGAGATTATATAACCCCACCCCCTAATCATGGTTCATTGACTTTGAAACTTTTACATAGTTTACAAGTTAATGTTTGTGTTTAGGTTTTTTTAAAGGGAACAACTTATGAAAAGTCAATGGTATTTGGTTTGCAGTTGTATTAGCATTGGCACATCTCATTTCCATGGAGATTGTTTAGCCCTGTACCTTCAGTCATGGTTCATTGACTTTGAATATTTGCATAACTTACATGTTAAAGTATTGTAATTTTAATTTCAACATTTGCATTATCAAAATAACAAATAGGCGAGACATATCTCTGTGTTAACAGTTTATTTACATATTCTAGAGGTATGTTTATTTATTATCTAGATTTTTGTCGAGCCTTCGACTTTAGTCGAAAAAGCAAGACATAGCGATCCTACATTCCGTCGTCATCGCCGGCGGCGTCCACAAATATTCACTCTGTGGTTAAAGTTTTTGAAATTTTAATAACTTTCTTAAACTATCCTGGATTTCTACCAAACTTGGACAGAAGCTTGTTTATGATCATAAGATAGTATCCAGAAATTAATTTTGTAAAAATAAAATTCCATTTTTTCCGTATTTTACTTATAAATGGACTTAGTTTTTCTGCCGGGAAATATTACATTCACTCTGTGGTTAAAGTTTTTAAACTTTCTTAAACTATCCTGGGTTTGTACCAAACTTGGACAGAAGCTTGTTTATGATCATAAGATAGTATCTAGAAGGAAATTTTGTAAAAAAATAAATCCATTTTTTCCTTATTTTACTTTTAAATGGACTTAGATTTTCTGCCAGGAAACAACACATTCACTCTGTGGTTAAAGTTTTTAAAATTTTAATAACTTTCTTATACTATTTTGGATTTGTACCAAACTTGGACAGAAGCTTGTTTATGATCAAAAGTTAGTATCTAGAAGGAAATTTTGTAAAAAAATAAATCCATTTTTTCCGTATTTTACTTTTAAATGGACTTAGATTTTCTGCCAGGAAACAACATATTCACTCTGTGGTTAAAGTTTTTAAAATTTTAATAACTTTCTTATACTATTTTGGATTTGTACCAAACTTGGACAGAAGATTGTTTATGATCAAATGCTAGTATCTAGAAGGAAATTTTGTTTTCTTCCAGTTAACATTACATTCAGTCTGCAGTTAAAGTTTTTAAACATTAATTAGATTCATAAACTATCCTGGATTTTTACCAAACTTGGACAGAAGCTTCTTTCAATCAAAAGATAGTATCAAGAGAAATATTTTTATTGATTTACTTCCTCATTTTTGTTGAGCCTGCAAATTAACAGAAAAAGTAGGCGAGACACTGGGTTCCGTGGAACCCTTACAAATGTTTTTTTAATTTCCAACATCAATGACTGGAAGTTAATAACCTGTCATTTTTTGTTAAATTTAGTTTAATATAATGTATTTTTGAATTGATAGCTACTACCCAGAGGCTGGAAAAAAACATTCTACAGACCTTATGGCCAAGTCGCTGATTGATTCCTCTATATTTGTGGCATTTATATCAAACAACTATGTGAGTGATCAGACCTGCTGTAATATGTTTAAGTTTGCCAAAACCACACTCAGGAAACCATTTATCCTGGTTGCTGTTGGACCAGACCATGAATGGAAGAAAAGTGCCTTGGGACTACTGGTCTCTGATGTTGTAAGTATGCTCAGACTTTAGTATAACAGAAAAAGTTGCAATGCACAATGCCAATAGAATTAGAATATGTTAATAGAGCTTTATTTGTGAATTTAAAAAAATTATGCAGTCGAAAATGTTTTACTTTCAGTCTATGATTATTTACGATTTTGTTTATTTTAAAACATTTTGTGGCTGTTTGATTGGGTAGGGTGAGCATGTCTCAAATTTGTGTCATTAGCTTGAGGAATTAAATGTTTGTGTTTCTGTTTGTGGGTCTTTATAAACATGCTCGACTCTAAGAAGTTATGATGTGTTTTACTAAGTGATTTATACATACTGTTAACATGTCTTTTTCTGGTTTACTGACTGTTAAAAAATCATGTAAACCAAGTTATTGCTTTATGTTGACAGGTCTTTGTAAACATGATTGACTGTTAAAAAACCATGTAAACCAAGTTATTGCTATATGTTGACAGGTCTTTGTAAACATGATTGACTGTTAAAAAATCATGTAAACCAAGTTATTGCTTTATGTTGACAGGTCTTTGTAAACATGATTGACTGTTAAAAAACCATGTAAACCAAGTTATTGCTTTATGTTGACAGGTCTTTGTAAATATGATTGACTCTAAGAAATCTGTGTTTGCAAATAAGATGGAAGAACTGTTAGGAAAAGTAAAAGAGATATACTCTGTGGAAGTGTCCAATGAAAGTCCACCATGTTTTGTCAGCTATTGCTGGAAAAATTCCAAAGATGCTGTAGAACTTGGAACTAAGTAAGTAATTTTACTATTTGAGATCACCATTTTCTATTCACTTGTCAATTATTTAATTACTTAATTATTGCTATCTTTTTTGGTTCCTCAAGAGGACTTCACTTTTTGAAATTTCTGAAAAGGCTGGATCATTTGGAACCACCTTCAAACAAACAGTGTCTGATAAAAACAGAACATGCATGTGCCTATGTATACTTAAGAGTTACTGATGATTATTAGAGAATATCACAGAAGTAAATAGATTTGTTTTTTGTTTATTATGTTTTATATAATATATAGAGGGGCTGTCTTGATCTTGATGTAATGTTAGGGCTTTAGTCCATCATGGAACTATCAAGATGAAAAAAAACCTATAAAATCACTGTGATTAGATAAAATAAATGGTTATTTCTTTCAGATTGATTGGATTTTTGTCCCCTGTAAAATCACCACATATACCTTCTAACTCAATCCAGAGTGCATGAATCATATTTATTTTCAGATCAGAACCTCAGGCATATGCTTACACACCAGATCCGAGAGATATGGCAAGTTTTCTGACAGCTAGTGGTGTTCCATGCTGGTTAGATACTAAAAGAATAGGATTTGGAATGGTAAGTTCACTTGATGTAGAATTGGCACTTATGTTGCCAGATAAATCTTCTGATCTGTAAAAAAAACTATTCATATAAAATTGTAAAAGTTGTATAGTACAGTGCATTTCTATAATATAAATGTCTCAATGATCTACATTTCATAGTTGAGTGACTTAAGTCCAACTCACATCTATGGCTTAGGAAACCATGTTGGTGCGGAAACTTCAGTGATATTTCCTTTCTTATTTCTCTCTCATAACACAACTTAAATAAGTGACTAAGTACTAAGCAACATGTTTCTCACATGACAACACTTTGAAATAGACAGTATATTGTCTTAGTTTTACATCAGTGTCTTATTGAGATATTTAATTCCAAAGTGATAATGTGACATAGCTAAATAAATACCGAAAATCAATTTATAACACAAGTGCCAAATGAAAATGAATCTTTCAACTTAAACTTTGTCACAATCACTATTGACATTTATTTTTCAGAGTGGTTTATTAGATGATATAGCTAAAGGATTACTGAACAGTCAAATGATGATAGCATTTGTATCAGACGACTATACATCTTCCAATAACTCTATGACAGAGTTGAATTTTGCTGCTCTCACATTACACATTCCTGTTATATTTGCTATTGTAGGACAAGGAGATAACTGGAAGAAAAGTGAAGTAAGATTACTATGCTACCAATTTTACACATTCATGCTGAATAATTTGAGACACTAATTAAATCTAGTCTCAATGAGTTAAATATCATTAAAATTTTAGAAATAATTAAAGAATGACGGAAGGGTGTCTAAGAAAATTTGTTTTTGATTGCCTTTCTTATGTATTACCATAGCAACAAATGAAAAATAGTTCTAAATAAAAGGAGTTATGAGGGTATATGTCAATGAGTTACAACCCAAAGAAATAAATTACAAAAAGACATCTTAGTTTACTAAAAAAAACTATGCAATTTATCTTCATGTGAGATGAAAATTACTTTAAAAAATTGGTGGGGAAAATATATTTGCACACTAATACTTATAGGAAACAATGTATCATACCAGTTATCTCTTTAGATATTTTGACATTTATTGTTTATAATTCTTGGAATAAATTTTTCAAACCAGACGCTATAATGTTTGCCATTCCTGATGTTTGTAAGTGACACTAATAATGTCATTTACTAAATTTAAAAATAAGCAGTCAATATATGAGCATGTAATACAGTTTATACTTATTCACCTATACATGTAGTACGTAATTTACCTTAGTTAATTGACTTTCATCAAACATACACACATGACAAAACAACACATCAAAAAAAAAAATGGAATGTGAATTAAACCTCCAAACTTTTTATGGCACTGCACTGCATATATTATTAAAATCTTGCATATTGAATTGCATTTCTAAATCTTTGTCAATGTTTCCTTTAATGATTGATCAATTTCTTTCTATTTAGAAAATGATAAAATTCAATTCAAAAATTTGATGAGTGAAAATATAAAATGCACCCGGTAGACCTATTTTAGTAGAAATTAGAACAGTTATCTATTAAGCATAGTTGTACCACTGCAATCAGATTTTGTCCATCCTTCTGTTTGTTCGGGCATGTATCTTGTCAGTGCAATTTCTAAACGGCTAAGGGGATATTTTATACTTTACACAATTATAAAACACTACCCCAGGATGTGCATTAAGGAATAATATAATCATGGTCAAACATGTTCAAGGGGAGACAATCTAGTTTACTCATTTCAATATACTAATAGTATTACGGGCTGGGCTACCTTTTAACGAGTTTACCCACAGTTCTAGTTTTGTATTGAAAATGCATAATTTTACTACATTCAACATGTTTTTTTAATTATTGAATATGTTATTTTATTGCAGGCAAACATGCTAGCATTTAGACAAAATTATCCAGTTATTGATTTCCGCCAAGTTGCAGAGAATGAAGCAAAAGAAAAACTGCTTGAGCTAGCTTCGGGCTACCTTAAGTTAGAACAATCAGGGTCAACATTCAAAAAAGGAGATCTGAGCAGAACAGAATCAAGTAAAAAAAAAAAACAGGAGAGCTCAGACAAAAAAGATAATTTGTCTTTCCAGGTAAATAAATTATCAATAACAGAAATGCTTGGTAAGATGTAGTACCAAAATATTATTTCTCTATTCAGTTATAATACAGTCGTAAAATTTATTAATCAGAAGTATTTCTATTCCCAAAAATAGAATGTTTAGGTTGCTTACTGTTAAATTCTTATCATGAAAGAAAAGAAATGGCATGTCTATACTCCTATCCCAGACAGGTAGAAATGATAAAATCCATTGTATTTTAATACATTTGTCATTTACCCATATCTTCAACAACTATTAACATAGTGTAGGAGAGGAATTTGTAAAAGTGAAAATTCACTTGTTTTCCAATCCTAATAAAACTGTCATATTGTAATGTTTATGTTAATATTTTTACAATAAAATATTCTTTACACTAACATTGTGTGGTTTTGCACATGACAAAGCTCCTCCTGACCTAGGCTGTTAAATGTCCTGTTTTATTTATTTTTACAGGAACTGTATGAGCTAGCACAGAGAAAATTTCATCATCAGATAACACATTATGCTCTTACACAAGACACAGGTCTACCTTACCCCAGGCTATTCATTGTTGATGTTCAGAAGGAAAAAGGTAGTTGTTTTGAAGATATTACTGTTCTTGTTTTTTTCAGTGACTTGATTGCAAGTTTTGCTCTCCACACATTGCAGTTCATTCAAAATTCTGACCAAATTGAAATTTGCTTCATCAAATCAAACTCATTATCTGGTCAGAAAATTGAATCAATAGCTGTAGTCTAGTGTAGAAGAAACACACTCAAGTCAACAAAGTGCAAAGTAATAAAATAAAGCATATGTGAAGTAAACTAGTATTGCAGACATGAGTCTTTTGTTAATGAATAAAAAGGGCATTTTGTTATTAAAATACCACTTTATGGGCTGTTGAAATGTGGTTTAAATGATTGAGAAGTTCACATTGGAATAACTGTTAAGGCCTCAGTGTTCTTTTTTTTTTTTTGAGCGCTGGCCTGGAATGCTGAAGGATTGTGGTTTGATCTCCCAAGACATACAGCATTTGTTTATGATTTAATGTTGAATCATCATCTCTAGATGTCGTTTTATAGTTTTATATTGTTGTTGAATTGCACCTTTCAACTTACCAAATCTAGGAGGCTCCCACTTTTCCTTAAAACAAATGAAATCTTCCCTTTGGACCTCTTTGAGTGCGATATCTTAACACAAAATTTTGAATGAACAGAGGTTGTAACCTATTATCGCCCCCTTAGTGGCACTGGAAAATGGAAATATCCCACTTTGTTGCTCCAAAAGGTTGGCTGGTATGATTTATATGCCATGTAGAGACTAGACTTCCAGAGTACCTTCAGATAGGATTGAAATATTTGAGTAAGTAAAAAGAAATTATTAAGATCAATATGTAAACTTTTTATATTGAAGCAAAGTATCTGTACACAAATTAAAATGATAATAAAACTCTTGTGACACCTTGTAGGAGTTATTGAGATTGAATATAATATGCATGCAATTGACACAATTAGTATTTAAATTATACTCTTTAATTTTACAGAAAACACAACAGAAAAGGATGAAGAGAAGAAAAGCCTAGAGGACTTAGAAATAAGCTTCAGGGATGGAAAATACTGTGTACATATACTGTGTGAATGTGAATCTGTAAGTTCTGTTAAATATAACTTTTAGAAAGAAAAAAACATCAATGTTGCTAGTCATTTACTTTATATGTTGTATATTTATTATGCTAAACAATATATGGAAGAGGAACCACAATCTTCAAGTTTGTTTATAAGTTAGTAAGTAAGTAACTTTTTTATTATGGTGTGTGTATAATTACAGTTAAACAAAAAACAAATAAGTTACCAAAACAATGAAATACACCTGACCCATTGGGTCTATAAGTCACTTTAAAAATCATAAAACCTATTTCTTGTATCATGGATTTTCAAACAAGATAATGAAAAAGTTTGAGCTAAATTCAAAATTAAGTAATTGATAATGAAAAATAGAAAAATTTCTCATTTATAATTTTTTTTTTAACCATGAGAATTTGTGTTTCAGGGATGGCATGCAGTCGGTGATCCCATTCCATTAGATGATGACTTTGGGATGTCATTATTGACATACTATGCACCCTACCTAACTCGTATTACAGCTCTAATGAAACATAATCTTCACTTTAAGATGAATGCATTAAGTGACAAATATGGTGTTGCTTATCTCAGATATCTTGCAGAGGTAAATAGAATAAAATAACCATGGCACTCAAAACGTTGAGTAATCTATACATTTTACAGAAACAAAAGCATCCAATTGCATGGGTTTGACCTGATATTTTTATGCACCACCTAGGGGCATTATGTTTTTTGGTCTGTGCGTCCGTTCGTCCATTCAGCCGTCCGTTCGTCCATTGGTCCGTCCATTCGTCCATCTGTCCCGCTTCAGGTTAAAGTTTTTGGTCAAGGTAGTTTTTGCTGAAGTTGAAGTCCAATCAACTTGAAACTTGGTACACATGTTCCCTATGATATGATCTTTCTAATTATAATGCCAAATTAGAGTTTTGACCCAAATTTCATGGTCCACTGAACATAGAAAATGATAGTGCAAGTGGAGCATCCGTGTACTATGGACATATTCTTGTTTAATATTATTTCTTAAGTGGGTGTTAAACAGTGATGGAGGAGTTGGTCCTCCGTCCTACTTTTGTATCTGACACTGCTTCTGAACTGCTTGACAGAATTTTGTAAGACTTTCACTGAATCTTTATAACATTGTTCTTTTGCACAACCAACTTCAATTCTTTATCCGAATAAATTTTTAAGTTTACTATTGCATGACGTGCACTTTGTTATATCTGCACACGACAGTTCACATTTTTATCAGCTTCTCCTCCTAAACCTTTAATCAGAATTCAATGAAACTTTCCTAGACCCTTACCTGTGTAATGCCATTGTACACTTACTTATTTGTTTTTTTTATCCCAATTATATTTAATGGTTTCCCTTAGTAAATCATTGACGTTGTCATTTCTTTATCTGGTGGTACCAACTTTGTATTGGCAACTCCTTCTAAACCTCATTTTAGAATTTATTGAAGGTAGAAAGAGGAAGAGACTTCTAAAATCCCCCCCCCTTTTCACACAACATACTTTCTTCAAGTAGTTTGGAATACATCTAATGGATATACAACCATGAATGACAGACAACCTATGTCCAGAAATAAAACTTCCCATCTTATCCTTCAAAATTCTTTTTAACGGAATAGCCCTAAGTATGATAATAGCAATAACTCATTTAGAAGAAAATGTTTTCCCTATCAGATGATAAAGATTTATTCTTTTATAAATATTGCTTTGAAAGGAAAAGGAAAGAGGAAAAGAATTTGATTTAATAGATAGCAACAAGTCAAAGTGAATGTAATAATAATAAATAATTGTGAATTCTTGATGATATTTTACATAGATTCTGCACAACTCATAGGTCTGTCAAGAGTTACTTCCCTTGCTCATAGTGCATCTTTTACAAATATTTATTATTAAAACATTTTCATTGAGTCATCCAATTTTATTTATTTGGAAACTTATGAATTGCTTAAGAAATAGTTATTGAAGTTTGAAATAGTTTTAGAGATGAGGATGAGTATAATTTTGTTTTTTGGTATATTAATATAAGATTATAAGGGAACGACTATTTAACTTCAAGGGGAGGTATGGTTTTTTCCTAAAAAAATATTCTGATCCCCAATTTGATGAAAAAAAATATTGTGGTCAAGCAGATGACAAAAAAAATATTCTGAATCCAGAATTCCCCGTTACCTTAAAGTGTTCAATTTTGAAAAAAATATATTTGATTGATAGCATCGAAAAACAAACAAAAAATGTTTGTACGTCAAAAAAATTCTGACTCAGACTAAAAACCATACCCCCCCCCTTGAAGTTAAATGGTTGCTCCCTAACTTTCAAATCACATAGAATTATGTCAGTCACATTGTTAAATGTTTGATAAACTATGTCAAATATTTTGAACATTTTTTCTCTTGTAGTCCTCAGCAGTAGAATTATCAGAATGTAAAACTGAGTACTGGAAGCTGAGGGAAAAGGTTATGAATCTGGATTCAGAACAGAAAATGGGTGGACTTTCAAGGTAAATCTATTCTCCCTTATCAGTACAGGAACCAGTAGTAAATTGACCATTCTCTATTGACTTTTACCAGTTCAGTTTGGGAATTCTACCCCAAAAAAATTAATCATTGTAGGGTTCTTATATTTATTATGGAAGTTGTTGATTGTCTTTCATTTTTGTGTTAGTTTATAATGCAATTTCATTGTCAGATTGCATTACTATTCTATTGTTGTCCAACATGACAGTAGAAGGGGAGACTTAGGTATCACTTTTTAGACAAGCTCATTCACCAAGGCAAAAACATTTATATCTTATCCCCTGTTTGTATGGAGTGTCTGACTTATGTCCCATGCTAAGTCATTTGTAAGTCTTTGTTCTGTGGTCTTTGTCTCTCCTTTGAAATCATACCATATCTCCTTTGCTTACTTTTATAAGGTTAAGTTTTTATGATTAGGTCTGTTCTTCAGCAACTGTACATGACAATTCCACAATTTTGGATTAAATATGTCTGTTTTACATATATTAGATGTCTTTGGCCTTATTTACACCCTCTAGTGGTCAAAGATTAATTTTTTGTCAAGAGAGCATGTAAGTTAGAACTTCATACATTTATTACTTGGACTGATGATTGTTGGCATCTAGGTGTATCACCACAAGACAAGGCATTTCATGACCAACATACATGGTTGACTTTGAGGTCAAATTTTTCACCTTTTAGCATGATTGTCAAAACTTTTCATCTTTTGACCTATATAGAAATAAGATGATGTTGTATAGACTATTGCCATTTTGGAAAGTAGGTGCAATACCATAAAATTCTGAGTTCCATGCATACTACTGTGATTGACATATGACCTTACCATAACTTATTGCTATTGATAATTGTTGTTTTTATTCTTTTCATACGGCAATGTCTATGCTATTTTTAGACTAGTGAAAGGGGAGGCACTAAAAAGATTTAGATACATTTAAAGTAGATAGTAAGATGTGGCCATCTTTGAAAATCTTAAACATGAATGTTCTTTGAAGTCATTCTAATTGTCATTAATTATTTTATCATATGTAATAACTACATAACAACAAAATTCATGTTATTTTTTTCAGATGTCGTCTGCCAAGTGGCAAAACAATATGGTTGTGTCAAGGTCACATATCAAAGATGAAGGTAACTGTATTGACCAAAGAAATGATAGCACATGATAAGACTACTACAGGTGTTATTGGTGTGGATCATATGGTGGAATCTCTGAGAGAGATGGATCCACAAAAAATGAATATTGCATTCAAATCTGCCAAAAAGGCCAAGAGAAATAGAACAGGTACTTACTACTTAATTGTAACACCACAACAGATATTTTCTGAATGTTTATAAAAATCCAAATTTCATGTCAGTCATATTTTAATTTGTAGTCTACAGTTGAGTATAAATCCTATTTATATATTTTTATGAGCTGACAAAAATGTGAGTAAAGTCTATATGACTCCAATGTTCTCTCAATCAGTTCAAAATTAAAATAAAATGTTGATCTTATTACAATCAGATCTTCCACTTTGCTCTATTAGATTTGTTTGTCGCTCATCTAAGATCTGAAAACATCTCATAAGGGGGTCCTGTTCAGTGACCCATTAGCATTCAGTCAAACGTTTCCCTCCCAGAAGTTTAGGTAGTTTCTACTATAGAATGCAGTGGTTCCAGTTTTATTCACCAACCTGATTGTAAACATTCCTGATCCTAGCAAAACAGTTAAGTTTTATTGTTTTATTCATGATTATAAAGTCAAAATTTTAATGTGTGTTTCCCAGAAAAAATTGTAATCCAAGTGCCATTGCGAAATGCCTGGCTGTTGAAAAATTTGTTTAAAAGGTCATCCTGATGTGACCCCTTATTGGATTTTTAAGATCTTATATGAGTGACAAACAAATCTAACCGAGCTTAGATAAAAGACCTGGTTTTAATCAGATTGAATTCTCTGTCCTATTGTAGTCCTCAACAGTAGAAAATATTTCACTTTAGTCAGAAATTATTATACTGTTGTACTCTGGATATTGAAACAAAAATGACTGCTATGAAAATGAATGAATAATTAGAAAGTTGCACCAGATCCAAACAACAATCAAATAAACTGTGTACTCCATTTTTTTTCTTTTAAATAGAGAAATAACCTGTATAACACTTTTCATCTATATGAGGGTCGTAATGGGGTACCTTCATGAAGAATAAAGGTAAAAAGTCTTGCCAAATGATGTTAATGGTAATTTTTGGTGCATGACGATAAAATGTACACTTTCTTTTAGACGATAAAAAAATCAACTGATTTTGACGAATCACGTTAAATTTTTTTCCAAAAACAACGGTAACGATCAATTTTTTAGACCTCTGACGAATCACGACAAGGATATTTTGACGAATCACAGTAAAATTTTAACCAACTTGACGCTAACGGTAGCCAAAAATGACTGTTTGACGCCTGATAGTAAATAGCATTCCTACCCTCCTATATCAACATAATAAAATATTTGATATGAAAAAGAAATTTTTAAAAGGTTGACATCACTGCCAAGAAATGTTTGCTTTATTATTTCTCTCAATGTCATACATTATCTTTGTAAAGTCGGATTTGTTACATGTTGAAACCTTTGAACTTGTGTAATGTTTGGAATTACATTGTACACTTATATTAACCTACCTCTGAATATTTTTCCTACCTTTAACAGCACCCAAAGATGCAAAAGAACAAGTGAATATTCAGAAAAAACAGTCCTTGATGAGACAAAAGTCTTCGATTAATGATGAACTTCTAGCTGAATATAAGGAAAGGATGAATAAGGCTGAGGACAAAGAAAAACAAACAAAAGTGTCAACACCTAGACAGGCTGATTCTTCTGGTGAATCTAAAACTTTACCTCCTGTAATTCAGGAGAAAAAGAAAGCTGATTTAGCAGAGAATATTACTTCTGATAAAAGTCGGGATGATGAAGGTCCATCTACTTCTGGTATAGACACAAATAATCAAAAGGCAAAACAAACAACGCAATCTGCCTCTGGTGGGGGGAAATCTGCACAGAACTCTCAGGTTACAGGTCCCAATAGCAAAAGACCACTGTCAGATAGTAAGACTGGTCAAGCAGCAAAGGTTAACAAAGAACCTCAATCATTAGGGAAAATGGGAAGAAGTAAAAGCAAAGCTTGTTCAGTTATGTAACTGTAAAACAATAGATGTAAATGGATGGTCACAGCATTAGTTTCATCATTTTATTATGACAAATTTTATTGAGAAAAGTTAGACTGATAGATACCAAATGTATAAATGGTGATAAAGGCTTGTTTTGCAATGATGAATGGCATGTAATGAATAAAAGGGGGAGTGAAAGTGCTTCTTATTGTTATGTGGCTTAGATACAGAGGGAATTAATAGAGGATTACATCAAAGGTTGCATTTAACTGTATTTTAAGATGTAATTCATTTAAAAAAGGGGGGTAAAAAAAGCTTGTGCCTTTTATGTGATTGAAGTACTATGGGTACATATTAAAAAAAGGCTAAAGCAATGGTTATGTAACTGGAAAGTAAATGGGTACAAACATTAACTAACTGAGGCAAATCCTGCTTTATGGAGCTTCTGTTAAGAGTAGATACTGCAGTTACAAATAGGTGTAGTTCATTATTTTAAGTGCTATTTCATGTGACTTAAGTTTAAGTTAAACTATTGCAAAATGTCTCCATTTTTTCCACATTTCCTATATTGAAGTAACTGAATAAAACTTAGAAACGGAAAGAAATTGTTTTACAATCAAATCAACTGTTAAGTTTTACATACTATGCCTATGAATGCTTATTCTACTATGATGCCTTGATTAAATTAGATCAAGTAAAATAGAAACTATAATTGGTACAATGTGGTATGAACTTTATGTTATATTGATGATTGTGCTGTAGAAATGTTTACATCTAATTTATTATTTATAACTTTTATATGTGTGTGAAGATGAAGTTATTGAGTATTTTTGATAAACTTATTATATTTTCATATCTGTGATATTTTTATTTTTTTTTAGCTTACCTGGTTCAAGGGCCAATATGAGTATTACCATCACTATGTATCCATTGTCATGCTACTTTCCACAACGTCATTGAATCTTGTAGCTTTTATCAGGTTATAAAAAAGCCGGGAGAGTGATACAGGCTACTTTAATCCTCTAATATTTTAAAATGTTATTTTTTGTTAGTTGTTATTTATACTTTTGTTGACTGTATAATTTTCATTTTGATAAAAGATTTAGATTTGCAATCCGTCCTTCTGACAATCTATTCAGGTTTTAAGACTAATCCTTTTACAGACCAACTTCACCCATAGTTATGTGCACAATTCAGAACTATATTATACCATAATCTGTTTGTGCCATTTAATTCCAGGCAAAGACAATTACAGATATGAAGTTGACATTATGACCTTAATTAGAAGTTACACAGTCATAAAATTGTAGAAGGAATAATTGCTTTATAAGTATCTGTGAAAAATATACTGTAAATTCAAAAAAAATTGTGATGATTTTATTATTGCAAAAATTAGGACTTAATGGGATTGAAAAAAATAAAAACTCACAATTTGAAATTTCGATGGCCTTATATGATTTTTATGCAGCTTTTCCTGAGATCACAATTAATTCACATTACATTTTTTTACAACGTTCAATAATCATAATACTAAATTTATTGAAGATGCTAAAGAAGTATATTATATAAGAGTCATTTGTTTCTTTAGTTGGATTCTCATAGAAAGGAAGCATAAAACATAACCTGCATATCATTTTTCATGTAGATAAGAAAAAGATATTTTAGAAAACTTATTTGATCTAGCACGAGAACAGAAATTATTTGCACAAATCTCTTGGAGTATTCCTTGGACTGAAAGAAATTGTCTTTTATTTGAACAGATCTTATTGTCATATTTAAGACTATATCCTTTTTCCGTGAAAGTTGATTAATTGTTAAGTGAAAATGGATCATTAATGATCAAAACACTCTAAAATAAAATCATATGAGATTTCCTGCTCAATAGAATCTGATCACTGTGTGAGTGTCATACCTATGGAATATATTCTTTATTAGCAAATAAGAAAACCATTAGGATTTTTTATATTTATTTTACATAGGTTGCATTATGAAAAACTTTATTGATTGAATGTTTATTTGATACATTATTTATATCTCTTCTATATTTGTATGTGTGCTTATTTTATAAGTCTTGTCACATTGTCTTTCAGGGGTTTTACATTCCATAAATAAATATGTACTTTGTATTGTTGACATCAAGAAGATTACATTTAAAAAAAACAAAAGTTGTTTAACCAACCTTTCTAAACCTTTCTAAAATTGCCTGTTTAAGAATTTAGAAATTATAAAGAAACTAAGGTTTCAACTCCTTCAAGCAAAGTTGACTTTTATAGATCGATTTGGCTATTTTCTTTATGTTCTTTTTTGGTCCTATGATGTAAAAGAACCGAAACAGTTGAAAAACTATATGACTAAAAGGGATCTAACAATAAATAGCTTTATCATCTAAGGTCAACTGTCAGTTGAATTTGGCATTTTTACATAATATAAATGTATATCAATTTGCCGTCCATACTTGATTTTTTAGTTGCATCCTCATTGAGGTACACTTTTTTCTCTATTTATTATTTACAAATGTTGTTAGATTGAAGCTAACCATCAGGGATTTTATTTTCTGATTCATTATGTATTTGTTAGGTTTATGTATTTTGTAGAAATAAATAAATATAGTTACACAAAAGGTTTTATTTTTTATTCGTATTGTTCAAAATGTGAATTAATGAGATATTTTATAGAATTTTTGATAAAAATATAAATTTAAAAATAAGAAGATGTGATATAATTACCAATGAGACTGCTATCCACCAGAAGACAAATGATGTGGATGTAAGCAACTCTAGGTCACACTATGACCTTCAACAGTTATCAAAAGCCATTTTGTATAGAAAGCTATAGCAGGCCTATATATGACAAAATGTAATACATGTACAATTCAAATGAGAATACCAACAGCCTCATTTATAGGAAAACAATAAACGAACAATAAAGTCTTGTTTGTTTTGTTATTATTGTTTCTGTTCTGTACCATTCCTGATAGAATCCTGTAAAATACCATCAAAATCAAAAAGATTAAATTAGTTTCCTTTGATACCCAGGTCTGGCCTTTACTGTTTGAAGGTCATTTGTAGATGACATTACTATCACGTCATCAACGTTTTTCCATGGTTTACTCCTTAAAAACGGAATTTAGAATTGAATTATAAGGAATGACTGTAATATTTTTTCTGTCTATTCGAAATGACCAGGTTATTCATTGTGCATCACATTTTTGATTTTATTTGTTCATAGACAGAAATTATATTACCGTTACAGTCATTCCTTAAACAACAATAATATTTAGTGAGGTTTTTAATTCATTGAAATGATGGTTATTTTTTATTTTTTGGCAGTTCTTTTCTGTTGTTTCATGGTTAAGTGACTGCTTGAAAAATATTTAGTTTTATTGTCATGTGAAATACTACCATAGCTTTTTATGACTAATAGGATAACTGCATTTGGTATATGGGATCCTTGATGCAAGATTTTCATGTCTGTCAGATAGGATTCACCCTCATTTATGGATGATGCATGCAGTGATCAAGGTTAAGTTTTTCGTGGTCAAGTCTGTATCTCACATACAATAAGCAATAGGTCAACTATATTTGGTGTATGGAATGATAATAAGGTGTACATGTCCGACTGGCAGGTTTTATCTTACCTTTATTTCATGGTTCATTGAACAATGTTTAGTTTTTGTAATTTGGTCTATTTCTCAGATACTATACTATATTTAGAGTATGGAATGATTCAAATAAGGTGTACATGTATGTGTGGCAGATTTCATATTACCGTAACCTCATTTTCATGGTTCATTGATCAATGTTAATTTTTCATGGTTTTGTTAGTTAATCAGGTACTATAAGCAATACCTCAACTATATTTTTGGTGTATGGAATGATTGTAAGGTGTACCTTTCTGTCAGGGTTCATCTGGTGTGGTATGATTGCCAGTGAGACAACTATCCACCAAATTTCAAATGAAGTGGATGTAAGCAATACCAATTTTCAGTTTTTTATGTTATCTTCAAAATTGAAGTAAATTGTAAAAAATGTGAATTGCAAAATAAATTTATCTACACCGAAAAATTCAAGAAATTGTTTAACAATGGACAAAAATGTGAGATTAATAATTGTGATTTCATGTAATGCTGCATACAAATAATGCTACCAAAATTTAAAAAATAAATGTGAGTTTTTATTTTTGCGAAAACAATCCCATCATAATTTTTGTTGGAAACATCACAAAAATTTCCAAATTTACAATAATTAACATAAAATATCAAACCTTCACTTTCCCTTCAGCTTGGAAAAGACTTATATCTCAATCAATTAAATGTTATGTTTAGTAGTACTAATCACCTTGTTGAACCTTTCATGTATGGTTAAATTTTACACTTTGGGGAATGCATATAGTAACTTCCTAGAAACTATAATGTTGCATAGGAACCACTCAAACAGACTTTTAAAATCTAATTTTAACTATTAAAAAGAAAAAAATAATACTTCCATATATCTTAGGGGACTGCCATTTGATTCTGAGGGAGATGGTGGGCTTGGCAGATTAAAGAAATAAATATTCTGGACTCCATTAAGTTGCCAACAAAAACATTTTGCCTTATAAATCACATATGAAAAAAAAAATTCTGACCCTAAATATTCAAAATGTTCAAAAAAATTCATCCCTGATTGTAATGCTAGCATAATTTTCATCTTTAGGGGAACCACCATTTGACTCTTATGTTTTTTTTCTTCTCCTTTTTCTTATTTTTTTACGTAACTAACATGCAAGCATCATATTCTCTTTTTTTGTCTAGCAAAGTGCAATTTTTTTCAAATTTAATTGGAAATAATAAGGTTTTTTCCCCTTTCTCCCTTTAATTTTTCACCATGCATTATAATTCTTCATAATGAGGCAATACTAATCTTAACTTTTGTTGAACGAATTCAACATTTTGCCAAATGTTCAATATATGAACTCAGTTTGTGTGCAGTTTACACAGTAAATGAAAATATATTGAAGATCCTTTACCAGTACTTTTTGTAAATAACCCGGGCCTTATAGACTACAGGGTTTATCTTACAAAACTAGAAGTCAATACCCCCTCAATCCCCCAAAAAAAATTATAATTTCACTAGCATTGGTTGTGAACAATAATGACAATAAACAATGTATTTGCTATGGTTATATATTCGATATCAAAGTTCAGCAATAATTATAGCAAATTTTTAATGTTACTAGCATTGGTTGTGAACAATCATGACAATATTGATTGATTGATTGGTGATTGCTTTACACCACATCAGCACAAAAAGGCTATATCGCGGCGATAATCATGACAATAAACAATGTATATCAATGTATACATTTTTGTATATTTGCTATGATTTTATATTCGATATCAAAGTTTAGTAATAATTATAGCAATATAAAAATAAGGTGATGTGGTATGATTGCCAATGAGACAACTATCCACCAAAGTTCAAACCAAGTGGATGTAAGCAATTATAGGCAACCGTACGGCCTTCAACCATGAGAAAAACCCATACCGTATAGTCCGCTATAAAAAGCCCTGACATGAAAAATTAGAAACAATTCAATTGAGAAAATTGAAACGGCCTAATTTATAACAAAACAATTTACGAAAAACAAATATGGCAGACTTGAAACAACAACAACCACTGAACTACAGGTTCCTGACTTGGGATGGCCTAAAGAATGTGGCGTGGTTAAACATGTTTGTGAGCGATTAACCCTCCCTAAAACTGGGACAGGGTGTAACAGCACAACATAAGAACAAACTATAAAAATCAGTTGAAAAAGGCTCAACTCATCAGATCGATACAAAGCAGAAAAACATCAAACAAAAACACAGACTG